GATAGATAGATAGATAGATAGATAGATAGATAGATAGATAGATAGATAGATAGATAGATAGATAGATAGATAGATAGATAGACAGATAGATAGATAGATAGATAGATAGATAGACAGACAGACAGACAGACAGACAGACAGACCAACTGACCGACAGATATATAGATTAGATAGATAGATAGATAGATAGATAGATATGAGATAGATAGAGAGATAGAGAGATAGATAGATAGAGAGATAGAGAGATAGATAGATAGATAGATAGATAGACAGATAGATAGATAGATAGATAGATAGATAGACAGACAGACAGACAGACAGACAGACAGACAGACAGACAGATAGATAGATAGATAGATAGACAGACAGACAGACAGACAGACAGACAGACAGACAGATAGATAGATAGATAGATAGATAGATAGATAGATAGATAGATAGATAGATAGATAGATAGATGAAGAGTTCAGATGCAAAAGCCTCTAAATGCCATCTGAAATTTTCTTCTAAAATGATCATTTTTATCAAGCTCGTATATTTAAATTCAGTAATTTCACTTAAATGACAATAAATGGGTAATTTTTCTTGCCATTTCAGTGAAATTATTTAACTTAAATATACGAGCTTGATAAAAATGATCATTTTAGAAGAAAATTTCAGATGGCATTTAGAGGCTTTTGCATCTGAACTCTTCAGATAAATAGATAGATAGATAGATAGATAGATAGATAGATAGATAGATAGATAGATAGATCAAACAACCAACAGACAGATCGATAGATCGACCGACTAACCTGGACACATGATGTAATGTCTAACTTTAGAAGTTAAAAGTTTAAAAGATATATAGGCTATAGCTTACAGGAGGCAGACGAGCTCAAGCAGAAGTTAAATCATGTCAGTCATCCTCATCAGTGCTCGAAAGACTATAATTAAACTGTCAACATCTCAAATAGACACAACTTTGTAAACCACATCTCCATGCCTGTGTTACTTAAAACAGAAGGTATTTAACCTCCGAGACCTCTGGAGTCCCCAGTCGCTGACCATTATTAGAGACACTCCAGTGGTAAAGAGCGACAAAGTGGTTCAATCATTTGTTTATAAGTAGTTCTATTTTTAAAACTCTTAGTTTAGACAACTGAAAATAGGAGGGTTTTGCCCCAAGAAGTCCGTCTAGCCATGCAGTCTTCTTCTTCAAAGAAGTGTTTGTCCCAGGAGAGGCAGACGGTGACCCTGGCCAAGACATGTCAAAGGTCTTCTTCTTCAGCAACTAATCCTGAGTCCAAGCACAGAGACGTTTTATTCATGATTTATTATTTAGAATATATCAGGGTAGTTAATAAAGGATATTTTAGGTTGTATTATTTACTATAATTATATTGCTATACATTTGAAATATATTTACTATTTGTTCTGTCCATATAGGCTACAATGGAAGTCCATGGTTACCAAAACTGTTTGGATACTGACATTCTTCAAAATGTGCAAACAAATGGAACGACTTGAGGTTAAAGCAACACTAAGTAAGATTTTTTCCTTAAAATAATGTTTCCAAAATCGTTTCAGTGGTTCATTAAGTCGTAACAGGGTGAAAGGCACTTCTGGATTCGCTTTGCGGTCCTATATAACCGCGCTATGTAAGATTGCCAGATCGGGTCGCGTTTCTGTAGTTCTAATGAGACATAAGAAAACTACAAATTTGACTTGCTTTACGTCAAGCGTTACAATAGTCATTATTTTGTTTTTCTTCGTTTCTGATGTCGCAATACATCATACTTTCATGAAATCATGCATCATACTCTACCTTGTCTGTGGACTCATTCCAAAGCCGGTGCTGATAAACAGCGAGCGTGTGTGCGACAGTAGGATGCGGTGGGCTAAATTATTTACCACAGCGGTAATGGACAATTCCACTTCCAACCTGTAGGGCGACCACAGAGGAAAAGTTACTTGGTGTTGCTTTAAGTATTGATGACAGAATTGTCATTTATGCAAGAACTATCCCTTTGATAGAACTTACTTTATAATATATATATATATATATATATATATATATATATATACACTCACCTAAAGGATTATTAGGAACACCTGTTCAATTTCTCATTAATGCAATTATCTAATCAACCAATCACATGGCAGTTGCTTCAATGCATTTAGGGGTGTGGTCCTGGTCAAGACAATCTCCTGAACTCCAAACTGAATGTCAGAATGGGAAAGAAAGGTGATTTAAGGAATTTTGAGCGTGGCATGGTTGTTGGTGCCAGACGGGCTAGTCTGAGTATTTCACAATCTGCTCAGTTACTGGGATTTTCACGCACAACCATTTCTAGGGTTTACAAAGAATGGTGTGAAAAGGGAAAAACATCCAGTATGCGGCAGTCCTGTGGGCGAAAATGCCTTGTTGATGCTAGAGGTCAGAGGAGAATGGGCCGACTGATTCAAGCTGATAGAAGAGCAACTTTGACTGAAATAACCACTCGTTACAACCGAGGTATGCAGCAAAGCATTTGTGAAGCCACAACACGCACAACCTTGAGGCGGATGGGCTACAACAACAGAAGACCCCACCAGGTACCACTCATCTCCACTACAAATAGGAAAAAGAGGCTACAATTTGCAAGAGCTCACCAAAATTGGACAGTTGAAGACTGGAAAAATGTTGCCTGGTCTGATGAGTCTCGATTTCTGTTGAGACATTCAGATGGTAGAGTCAGAATTTGGCGTAAACAGAATGAGAACATGGATCCATCATATGGTAAATGGTAAATGGACTGCATTTATATAGCGCTTTCACAGACCCAATGGCCACCAAAGCGCTTTACAATTTGCCTCACATTCACCCATTCACTCACTCATTCATACACCGACGGGCGACGGCAGCCATACAAGGCGCCATCCAGCTCGTCGGGAGCAGCTTGGGTTAGGTGTCTTGCTCATGGACACCTCGACACTTGGTCAGGTGGAACCGAGGATTGAACCACCAACCTTCCGGTTTGTAGACAACCCACATGAACCACGGAGCCACTGCCGCCATCATGCCTTGTTACCACTGTGCAGGCTGGTGGTGGTAGAGTAATGGTGTGGGGGATGGAACCTGGAAGCCAGGATGGAAGCCACGGCCTACCTGAGCATTGTTTCTGACCATGTCTATCCCTTTATGGCCACCATGTACCCATCCTCTGATGGCTACTTCCAGCAGGATAATGCACCATGTCACAAAGCTCGAATCATTTCAAATTGGTTTCTTGAACATGACAATGAGTTCACTGTACTAAAATGGCCCCCACAGTCGCCAGATCTCAACCCAATAGAGCATCTTTGGGATGTGGTGGAACGGGAGCTTCGTTCCCTAGATGTGCATCCCACAAATCTCCATCAACTGCAAGATGCTATCCTATCAATATGGGCCAACATTTCTAAAGAATGCTTTCAGCACCTTGTTGAATCAATGCCACGTAGAATTAAGGCAGTTCTGAAGGCGAAAGGGGGTCAAACACAGTATTAGCATGGTGTTCCTAATAATACTTTAGGTGAGTGTATATATATATATATATATATGTGTATATATATATATGTGTATATATATATATATATATAGGCCTATATATTAAGTAAGTTGAAATGTTAACACATGCATCACTATATAAACCGTTTTTGAAATATATTTCTGAATAAAAAACGGAGCAGGTGCCATAGATATTTGGGGGAAGAGAATTTCCCCCGTGAGGCCCATTTGAGTGACAGAGAAAGCCTGCTGTGAAAAACACTGTGGTTCCTACTGGTTCTCCAGAACCCCGAAGCCACCAGAAAAACACTTTGAATTATTTTCAGCTCAAAACGTATTTTATTTCTGAAGACCATTCCCCGTCAGAGACCTTTTCCTCATAAATTTTTTTTTTATCAAGAAAAATGATAAATTTCTTTTATTTTCAATAGTCGATGGTTGAATAAAAAAAGCTTATGAAGATATATAGAACGAGGAAGACTTTCAAGACAAAATTACGTTTTTGTTAATGTTCTTTAGATTTTCAGCATGTCATCCAGCTCTTAATTCATTTATTTTACTTAAACTCATAGCTTATTAAAACTCTTTATATCTTTAATATATATAATTTTACCATGATGTAATCATTCTTTTAGATGACATGACATCAGTTATTCTCCATTGCTGCAATTTCCATTTCATCAGCATCATCATGAGCACATCATGTTTTATTGTAGAGATAAAGGTTCTGAGACGACACGGGCCATTTCTGAAAGTCTGGCATTTCATATGGGTCTGGTCAAGCTCAAGCACTAAAACTTTAAATTATAATGGAAATAAAGAGCTAATATTAGACATTGCTCATTGAGGCATTGACTGTTATAGCATGATAGTTAATTTTTGATATTTTTAATGCTCTTTTAATTAAATTATCACACCGATTTCTGTAATTGTATGTTAAAGTGAGTCAAAGCAAAGAATGCAAAACATATTCATTAACTCCACTGCTAATAATTGATTTCTTACCAAAATGATATCACTTCCTGTAGGATGCTCCCATGAATGGCTTTTTTTGTTTAGGCTTTTCGTAAGAATGGGGTTTTGTTTTAATTTATTAAATATTACAAGACTATCAGGATTTAAATTGAGGCCACAGGGGAAAAAACCCTATGAAATAATACCTAATGTTTTGTTTGAAATATTCGAAACACCAAAAATATTTCTGTGAAAAGTTAGCGTAGTGATCACCCAGAAAATGACGTCATCTGCTCAAACCAAACCAAAGCAGTGAAATTATTTAAAATTTGATAAACTAATAAGATTAATATCCTTACACAGTGTGAGAGCAGTGATTCACTGTCCAATATATTAATATATATGACAGGGAGACAGTATTCACGACAATCTACTGCACCAACCAACGTGAGTGTTTCATCCGCTTTTGTTTCCTCCACGCGCACGGCGCACCAGCCGCTACCGTCCCGCACGTGATCTCCATGGTAACGTCATCAAGCTCTAGAAGTCTTCCTGTTGCTATAGTTGTGCGTTAGCTGATCATGGCAGCAAAGGTAAGCGCTATTCTCGCACAGAAACATAGTCGCTTTCTGCAGACGAAGGGAGCGCAGTGTTTGATCGTGAAGCATACGCATATGTCCAGAAAACATCATCGCAGGACACTGGAGAAACGCGGATTAACTGATAACCTTCAGTGTACACAGTAGCCGGTGTGACAGAGCTAGTTAGCCTGCTAATGTCCTGGGTGAATGTTAGCGTCTGTCAATGACATTGAGACATAAGAGCACTTCAGTGAGCTCTGATGAAGGATCAAACCCCTGTAGATAGACTGTCCACTGTCTGTGGAGTGTTTGAATGGGTGTCATGGGGTTTATAGGATGCTAAACATTCCTGAAGTCAGCTGAAGTTGAGTTGCTTAGATGTAAGATGCATAATAATAACACCAATGATCATCATTACCAGTGGAATATATATATATATAAAAACTTATGCTAAAATAATGTTAATAGACAGCACTGGGCGTAATGTATACATGTAGATCCGTTATATGTAATCACAATGTGTTTATGTCTACAGGTAATGATAAAGAGGGCTGATCCAGCAGAGCTCAAGTCCATTTTCTTGAAGGTATGTCACCTCGTATCTCCCTTGAGAGTCTGTAAATAAAGGGATGGCAACGTAGCCCAACATCTAAGCACTGGTGTCAATGAGATATACCCCTTATCTGATGTAACCATTTAATACATTTCTCATTACAGAAAGAAAACCTGAGGATTAATTTAAAAATGCATCGAGCACTGTATGGAACTCCTAGTAAGTTCACATGAATATACGAAGCAGAGTTCCTTAAAAGCACGAGAAAAAAAACTTTGCATGAATAACGCATTTTAAGTAATAAATCTAACAGCAAATGATCCAAAAAACTAACACATGCTTAATTAATATTCCTTTCAATAATCAGCCTTTTTCGTATATCTGGTTTACCATCTGGATGATTGTAAAATGATGTTGTTTTTGTTCATGTTGTCCTTAACTGTGAACATCATTTTTCTTTGGTTATTCTGTCTCGGGTTTTTAATACGAAATAATTATGATTACTATTGTGATCAATGCAATATGTGATTTTAACTGAGATGTGATACGCCACATTTCATGGAATACTACATTGTACAAGGCGCTGTATAAGTGACTAATTCGATGAGTTTTCTGGTTTATTATATAAAATGCATCAATTACATATTTAATTTGAATCAGATTTGTATCTACAATATCTATTCTGTACTGCAGTGGCCTCAGCATTAAATATATAATATTAGCCCAGTTTTCTTTTCCTTCACAGTATGCCAGTGTGGAGAAGAATGGAGAGCACCACATGTCCCCAGAGGACTTCGTGTCCAAGTTCCTCCATGCACAAACAGACATAAGGCTGTCCAAGGAGGCCACCGTTCTACTGGCAGGTGTTCTGGACCAGACCAAAGATGGGTTAGTATTTATTTCTATTAAAAGTCTGAGTTGCACTTGAACCGCAGGTTTTAGTTTGAAAACAAATCAAATTGTGCAACCAAACAACAATGACCAACACACAGTTTAAATGTGCGTTTTTCATTAATAATTCACGACTTGTGTAAATTACAGTTCATAGTTCATTTGATTCATAAACAAAGCGTCTGCTGTGAAATGGACGTGGATTATGCGGCGGTATCTTCCGCTTTTAATCCTGCATTAGGATGAAGGGTCAGACATCTTAACACACCACACTTTGTTCAGGTGCTGCTCCTTTCAGGCAGCACGGCTCAGCCCCCTTTTGCATTAATATGTATGCTTTTAATGATACATAATGATAGCCAATGATACGCAAGCGTAAGTCCAAAAAGATTGTGCGTTACCATGGCAACCAGCCGGGCCGCGTGCATGTGGTCATGCGGCACGCATTATTAGGGCTGCCATAGACCGGGAGAGGTACACACGCGCTGTAATTGCCTGTGCCATTCAGCTCTCGTGCTTTGAGGATGGATAAATTGCTGCATCTCAGCTATTAACGGATAACTATTAGGGAATCATGGCTTGAGCTCTCTTTCAGAACATGATTTTTTTATATATTTGCAGGGCTTTGAGGAAAAAAATAGGGGGATTGTTTGATTTAATCAAGATTACGGAAGTGTAAGTGTTGTGTTTTTCGGTTTATCTTTGAATTTTTTAAGTATTATTCACACAAAGCATGTAGGTTACCGAGTTAGATAAACAAAGATCTGGATATATATGGATTTCTGAGGTTTGGTCGTAGTGGCGGCTGTGGTCAGGACCTTCATGCCGTCAGGACTGCGGAATGTTGCAAATGAAGAAACGTTCATTTTGAGGCCTTCGTCCCAGAATTGCAATGAGAAAGTTCTAACAGCAGTTCATATTTGAACTGAAGCTTGCTGTAATATTGAAATGTATTCAAAATCATAAAGCTGCAAGCGCTAAAAGCTCTGTTTGTGTGGGTGTCGAATCCGATGTTTTTTGCTGAACACCAAGTGTTTTACAACCGAGGTAGGTTTTCATCTGAATGAGATGATTCACAGGTTATCTCTGTTTCATGAGATGGATACAAACAGCATGATGCATTTTCTACCTCCTCCTGAGCTGGAATAAATCAAGTGATATGGTGACGTCCATCAGGCACTGAATCACTTCTCCTTTATTCACTCTGCCCTGTTTGAGCGGCATCCTGCCAACGGGTCTGAATCAGTCATTCAACACATGTAGACTTCCCTGCTGATTCAAAGATCTGCCAGACATTCTCTCCTTTCCTTCTCTGCCTCTATCTTTTCTCCCCTCTCCATTTTTGATGGAAAAACTCCTCAAGTGTGAAACTCCGTAGCATCTTGGGGGTTAAAACTTTGTAAAGAGCGCATGCTGAGAAAATGGCAGTCCGTGCCCATGTGGTTTCAGGCTGGTCTGAGGTATGCACTCAGGGAAAGCTAAACCAGCCCGCGTCCCTCCGCATCTACGCTTGTCAGTGACAATGACAGGGCCAGAGCTTATTGAAGGTGCTCTCTCTTCACCTGTCATGGATAAAAGCTACAACGCTAAACCACTGAAATAATAAGTCTGTAAATAGTGTTTCTGGTAAGGACAGTGTTTACCAGCACCTCTCGGTTTTAGAAACAACACAATTTAAAGGTGCGTGGCACCCGCTGGGAGATACAAGGAAATGCTTTGTACAAAAGTATTTCTGTTTTGATTAGCGTAAACATTGAAAATTAATAGCAGCATAATATTCTTTTATTTTACGAAAATTTAAACAAATTTATTGTTTTTTTCAGTATGTTTCTCTTCTAAATTTTTGAAATAAGTCTTTTATGGTCACCAAGACTGCACAAAAATACAGTAAAAACAGTTTAAAATAAATGTAGTCTTCAGTGTCACGTGATCCGACTCCGAGTTGGTGCTCAAAGTATTTCCCATTATTACCAATGTTGAAAGCAGTTGTGCTGCTTAATATTTTTGTGGAAACCATGATACATTTTTTTTTACAGATTCTTTGATAAATAGAAAGTTAAAAATAACTAGGCCTATAAATCTTTTGTAACATTATAAATGTCTTTATTGTCAATTTAATGTGTCCTTGCTAAATAAAAGTATTAATTTCTTTCAAAACACTTTTTTTTTTTTTTTTACTGACCCCAGACTTTTAAATTGTAGCATATTCAACAGTTTCCAGTTTTTGTTGTGTTTAGAAAAAACAAAGTTCCACATGAATTGTCCTTATTATTAAATCGTTTCAGTGTCATATTTGAGAAACATAAAACTTTTTTGCATTCCCCATGTTACACTTCTGGTTCTGTGCCATTTTAGTTGATGGTTGGAAAATGTTCTTTGTCAGGCTTATTATTTGAGCTTCGGCTTAGTTTGTTTTACATGGCTACGGCATCTTAGTGTGTTTGTGTACCAGTGTAATTGTTCTCTAGTAGTCAAGGAACTGCTAATCAACCATCATAAGCCTCACGTCTGGCATGGCGCTGGGGAAACTACATGCACAACTCATTTTTGTGTATGTTGATTGGAGGGCATTTAATGCAGATACACTCCAACAATCAATTACGGTGACCATCAAGCTGATCTGAAATGAAAGCGATACCATCTGGTGATTAGAAGTGCCTCCTTGCCTTCCAATGGTTTCCAGTGTCAGAGATGCGTTTTAATACTGCCTTCACGTGCTATTGGAAATTTCTTACTTCCCACTTCTGAAGTTGTGACTACGAGCTCGTTGCTCGGTGCTTTGTTGTCGGAAAGAACAGGAATCATGGAGGACACCAGGTTTATTCTTGCCTGTTTATTAGGAAAATCTTATTAAAGGCAAAATGCAATTTAGTGTCCCGTTCATTGACAACCGTAAACATTCACCGCTCTATCTAGATAGTCAGCTTGCTGGAATTTCGGACAAATACAGGCTATTTTCGTATAAAACATACAATATGCTTCAAAGGATTATTCATAAATATGCACTACTTTGACGACAAGACAAGGCGATATAGCTGTTGTGGAAAAAACTAGTAAAGAATACCAATCATTCTCCTCTCCGCCATGTTTAAAGTTTATGGCCCGCTCAACTCAGTAACTCAAAATTATGCTGCCTTTATGTGCTATCGGAATTATCGTAAATACGAGTTTCTTAAGTAAAAATTGGACATGAACTCTCAAGTCATATTTACCACTGGGAAGCTTAGGGATAATTTTGATACCCAAGTTTCTAAGTTGAGCGAGCCATAAACGGAGGGGAGAATGACTGCTACTGTGACTCGAATTCTCAACAAGTTTATCTACATCGTCTTGTCTTGTCGTTAAAGTAGTGCATATTTAGGCTACATATATGAAAAGTCATTAGAAGCGTATTGTATGTTTTATACATATAGCCTGTATTTGACAGAAATTCCAGAATTGTCAGCAAGCTGACTATCTAGATATTGCTGTGAATGTTTTTATGGTTGTCAATGAATGGGACACTAAATACGTTTTGGCTTTAATAAGAATTTCCCAATAAATACGCAAGAATAAACCTGGTGTCCTCCAGGATTCCTGTTCTTTCCAAAAACAAAGCACTTGAATGCAATGAGCTCGTTATCACGACTTCAGAAGTGGGAAGTAGGAAATGTTCCGATAGCATGTGAAGGCAGCATTATCCCGGAGCTTCCCAGTGGTAAATACGCCTTCATGTCCACTTTTTAACTAGGAAACTTCCGCTGGCACGTGAAGGCAGCATAATCACTCGCTGAGTTTTGTCCGACTTTTCTTTTTGCAAAAGCATCAGCATCTGTATCATCTCTCTTTGCTGTTTTGTTTTTAATCATCGACGCCTGGGCCCAGCGGATCGCCTTTGTAGCTCTCCACCCACTCTGGAACAGCAGGCTCCTGTTCTCCTACTGTCAGCTTAGTTAATAAAAGAATTACTCTTGACTCCACAATGTGGCTGATTTGGCATGCTGGAAGCCCACAAATTCTCAGTTCCTTTGAATTTCATCAGTAACAAAATTAATTAGAGTGGCCACGAAAATGTAATCATTGCTCCCTGGAAATTGAAATAAATTAGAGATGCATGCATTGGGACTGCTCGTTAGCAGTGACCTCGAGTAATTGCTGTATCCATTTGTGAAATTCATAATGGAGTTGAGGCAACTTTGAACTGCGCTTAAATAAAGACTAGATTGCACGGTCCCCAGGGTTTCCTATGAATGCTGAAATTGGTTATTTGATGAGGTAGATACGCGTGAGTGTGTGTGTGTGTGTGTGGGCTTGTGTGCATGTTTATGTGTTTTCTGATGTCATGCTCTCCATTATGATTCAAACTTTTAGTCATTTGCAGAAGTCGTGCAGTTAGTGTTCCCCTTTTATTGATATAATATTTTTAATCTTTCTGCTGGTTTACTTGATTATTTGTCAAACAATAGCACCCATTTACTGTAAAATCATCACACATATAGGAACTAATGAAATAATCTTAAAATCGTGCCAAATATATGAAGGCTTCTCGAAATGTGCACTGGCAGTCAAAAGTTTGAGCACACCTAATACATTTCTTTACATTTATGTCATTATTTTATAAATATATTTAAATATAGTTCATATATTTTTAACTATTTATATTTTAGTTCATATATTTATATATGAATTTATTTCAGACATTAAGTATAAACCTGTACATCAAAACATTGTGTGTCCTTTTGACTGGTAGTGTACATGTATAGCAGTAATTCTTCCTGACCATTTCCTTACTGTACGGCTGCATGACTTGTTGGTTGGTTGATTCTCTTGTAATCACATGATTTACTGAGTTCCCAACCATACTGGGGGTTTTACATGAACTGGTCCCATTTTCAGTAAGGTAATGACATTTGACAGTCAAATTGGAAGCACTTCAATCAAGATTGGGATCATTGAAAAGCCTGTTATGTCAAATTGTTTTGTCATTCACTTAATCTCTGGGCCTAGAATTGAAGCTGGACTGTGTGTTTAGATGTTTTGTACATCATAATTTTAGGCTGATAATTACAGTTGAACAAATCACTCAAGTGTCAAGTGTTCACAATGAAAATATGTGCTACCTTTTTTTGTTTGGCGTCGAGAAGCAGTAATCAGCGAGTGATACCCTCTCATCATTCAATAATGTAATGCCAGGCTGGTGGAGTGAAGTGTCCACGATATGTAGGCTGTAAGTCTGTTTGTCTCCATCAGGTTGATCTCCTTCCAGGAGTTTCTGGCGTTTGAGTCGGTGCTGTGTGCTCCGGATGCTCTCTTCATGGTCACCTTCCAGCTCTTCGACAAAACTGGAAATGGCATTGCCACTTTTGGTAAGTGTACAATGCTCTTTATAAAACAGAGTTGAGGCTCGGAATTCTGATTGGATGAGCTGCGTTTGTAGCGTGACTGCGTCAGACTTCGTACTTCCGCTCTATTTCAGTTCGCTTCTGTACTCAGTCTGAGACATCGACATGTCTCTCAGTTTTCCTTCCGACCTGAAAACAGCCGGCCAATCAACGAACAGAGGGCGGGCTGAGAGCCGTGACGTAGACGCTAAGCACCGAGTTTAAGATTGTATTTTAGGATAGGGTAATCGAAAACGACCACGGATATGGAGACACGGGATGCAATTCGCTCTGTTGTGGAGAATATTTCCGGCATTTGCAAACTGAAGCCCGAACAAGAAGAGTGTTTGTTAAACATTTTGAATGGAGGTGATGTTGTGGCCCTACTCCCAACAGGTTTTGGGAAAAGTTTAATTTATCAACTATTACCGATCGTCAGCGAGAAACTGGGCAGGCCAAAGGCCGGCAAGGCGATAGTTGTGATTGTGTCCCCCTTGGTTGCACTCATGGAGGATCAGGTTAAGGAGGCAGCAAAACTCGGTCAGCCACGGTATTTCGCTCGATGGTTTCGTTTTCGCATCATACATGTGCGCTCCATTCGACAGGGTCCCTACGCAGTGTTCACTGCTCCCTACTCCCTGAACACGGTACATCAGTTGAAGTGGACTTCGCTGACAATAATCACTCATTTGGAATGCCCTGCAACGTCATCAACGAAAGGCAACAACAGGGTCACGCAGATTATGATATAACTTTTTATTTACTTTTCTTTCTAATTTAAAATCATATAATAGGCCTATAGATACATTCATCACCCCAACCGTTCATAAATACTCCAGTTTGTATAATAATAACAACATTTATGAATACTCAATGCATACGTTAGAATTTTAAATTTAAAATCTCTTCCAACGGCTCTGCTCTATGGTTAGTGCAGACTGGTGACGCGGTGCACATTGACAGTTGGTTGATTTTCACTCTCCACTTCCTGTGAAGTGATGTATCGATGTTCCCTTATTCCCTACGCCGTTTGCAGTGCCCTTCGAACTGAACATGTTCGTTCCCTTCGGATTGGAATCTCACTTAAGATGGTGAAACACCCTGTGAAGTCCACTTCGCAGTCCACTTACGGTCAAATGGAACGCACCTGTGTTTACAGTGGAAGTTCGATGCGGTTGAGCTGGCGAATAACACACGTCATAATAACCAAACGTTATGTGATTGGCTTACGGGTAACCAATGATTTTATACTTCAGACAAGCGCATCCCCCCCCCCCCCCGCGAGAAAGAAAACACTTTTCAATTATGCCATTCCAGACCAGGCTACTGCGTTTGAATGTTGATGAAAGTTCACCTGTGTCCGCACACATTCTGTAAAAATTGGCCTAGCTGCTGTGTCAAACAGCCTACAGTTACGAGAATTAGCTATATTACTTAGCAGAAAAGCTGTTTAATCTGTTAATTATTACATCACTTTCTGTAAGAGCAACCGTTTTGTTTTTGTTTTGCACATTTAAATGTTTTTTGGGTTCGTTTGGTTTGGTTTGGTTTCGTTCTGTTCTGTTCTGTTTTTTGTTTGGTTTTGTTTTGCACATTTAAATGATAAAAGGGTTGCATTTTATTACAGTATGTGTACTTGCATGTAAAATGTTTTTTGGGTTTGTTTGGTTTGGTTTGGTTTGGTTTGGTTTGGTTTCGTTCTGTTCTGTTCTGTTCTGTTTTTTGTTTGGTTTTGTTTTGCATATTTAAATGATAAAAAGGGCTGCAATTTATTTGACATGTACTTGCATGTACTGACAGTGTACTTACCTAAGAAAATACTGGGTGATATAAGGTAACTACAGGGGTTAAGGTTAGGTTTAGGTTCATGGTTAGTATACCTAGTTATTACCCAGTTATTGTAATTACTGTAAAAAGTACATAGTATGTATGTACATGGGGTATAGGACTGTAAAATAAAGTGCCACCATAAAAGTTTTTAGTAGTTTTTTAGTTTAAGGTTTTAGGTACTTCACTTTCTGTAAGAACACTCTTTTTGTTTTTGTGTTGCACATTTAAATGATAAAAAATGTGATGTTTTAGTATATTTTAATTTAAGATTGTAGTTTCATCACAGGAATTTCAATTCATTTGAATTTCCTTCACATGAATTGCCATATTTTGGCCTATAATTATCACTAATTGTATCAGCTGAAAGCCTAAATCAATTAGGTTATCGAGTTTAACTCCAGAGCATCTTATGTTCAGTCACCGGCCTCAAAACAAAGGCCTAATGTGAAGTAGTCTAATCTGAATTCCTGCTTGGACAGACAGATTCCTGTCACTTAGCGAAGTCCTACAGAATCAGTTGAGGTAAAACTCTTAATACGGCTTATTCAGCCACTTTAAAATGCAGATCGATTTCAAACACTGCTCCAAACACAATACGATCAGTGTAATCTTCCGCTGTACATTCACTGCGGTTATTTGATTTCAGACTAAGAACAAAGGATTTGAATACACCAATAGTTTGAGATGCTGCATTTACAGTTACATTCATGTTGCAAACGAACTTGGCACAAGAAGAATGCATGTGTGTATCTCATGCGTTAAATTTCCCTAATTGACTTAAATAGTCTAATTTGCCTTTTGTAGGCGAGACCTGTCAGATCAGCTCATTTCAAATGCATTACCCAAAGTGCCTAGGCGGAGAGAAAGAGACTTTCATCAACCTGTGTAGTCAATAGGGAAAAAGATCAGATAATGCATGCACACATGCGTATTTCATATACATATGACGCGGTTATTTAGATGTGTTGTTCAAAGGTTTTGTCAGGTTGAGCTGTAAGGAGAATAGGCAGTATTTGTCTCGTACACCTGTTTTTCAACTGCTGCAGTCACCTCAACATAAACAGCAAATAACTTCTGACTAAGACTATGGTCATGTCAAAATCACTTTATTGTGATGCACTACAGAGGGTAGGAAAATGAAATGCCGCTCTGTGTTAAAGCGAACAGGAGCCTCCCGTTTATAACCCTCTTAATGTCATTAAAAGCATTAAAGGTCTCTTGCTGTTACATTAAACAGTCTTTTTTTCACCATTTAATAAACCCTGTCATTGCAAGTCATATTATGAAGGGTAATTTTTTTAAGGGTTTGGAAAATTTAGGTTTTAATTAATGAATGTTTAGCATTTTTTTCACCCCCTGCCCCCCCCCCCCCTCCCCTTCAACTTCAATTAGGTGAATTAGAGGTAATAAACTTGCAGGCTGCCATGCAACTCCAAAGCGATATAACGAAAGAAGGACTGAGAAGTGTTGACAGGTTCATAAACACTGATAAAATAAAGGTCTGGACTCCACAGTGGAACTCTGTTGTAATACTATAAAAAGCATCTGCTGTACGACTCTTTACTGTACATAATTTGCCATGAATTGGAAAAAACCTAGTTGTTGCGCTCCATGAGGAATGCTTCTCGGCAAAATGTCCAACCCCATTTTTCTTTGCTTTTATTGTCACGTTCTTCAATGCAAAGATGTATTATGCCACATCTGTTTAGTATTTTTTTCCTAATTTGATAAAAATGTTTAATTACTAGTGCTGTCAAATCGATTAATCGCAATTATCGCATCTAACATAAATGTGTGTGAGTGAGTGAGTGAGTGAGTGAGTGAGTGTGTGAGTGAGTGAGTGTGTGTATATACTGTGTATATATATACACTACCGTTCAAAAGTTTGGGGTCGGTACGATTTTAAATACTTTAAAAAGAATTCTCTTCTGCTAACCATGGCTGCGCTTATTTGATTAAAAATACAACAAAAATCAGTTATAGTATTAAATATTATTCCAGTGTAAATCAGCTGTTTTCTGTGTGAATAGTAAAGTGTAATTTATTCCTGTGATCAAAGCTGAATTTTCAGCATCACCAGTGTCAGTGTCTTCAGTGTCAAATGATCCTTCACAAATCAGTATAATATGAGGATTTGATGCTCAAGAAACATTTATTATTATTATCAATGTTGAAACAGTTGTTGGTCTGTCAGTTGTACAGTTTTTTTGTTGTTGGATTCTTTGATGAATAGGAAGTTCAAAAGACTTTTGTAACATTATAAATGTCTTTACTGTCACTTTCGATCAAATTAATTATTCCTTGATAAATAAAAGTATTGATTTCTTTCCTCCAAAAAATAAAAATAAAATTCTCACTGACCCCAAACTTTTGAACGGTAGTGTATATATATATTATGTATTTACAAACTTTGTTAGATTCAATTAATCGCGATTAATCGTTTTGACAGCACCATTACTAATGATATCATCAGCATGAGTGAACAGTTGAATTGAAAAATTAACATGAATATCACAATGTCTTAGTGTTTTTTTTTTTTGTTTTTTTTTTTGACGATCATATTTTTAGGCATGATTTGAAATGATCCAAAGAGCAAGAACATCTGACATTCTGTACAATGTCACATTCAATGATTTAAATGTACTTATTAACATCAAAAAGTGCAGAATCTTAAACATTTTTTAGTAACTTTTATATTATATAATACATTACATGATGTTTATTTTGATATCTTTCAAAATGTTTTAACTTTGCGTATTTATTTCCATGTTTAAATGCAAATAAATAATTCCGTTTGATGCCTTGTGTTTCTAAATAAGCCTTGCTTTTAGACATGTGTTTTGCTTGTACAATCATAGAAATCTAACAATGCATAGTTTTTGTAACTCAATCCTCAACAATGACATTTCTGACGCCAGGCTTATCTCTGATTTCAGAGGATGTGAAACAAGTTTTCGGTCAGACCACTATTCACCAGCACATCCCCTTTAACTGGAACTCAGAATTTGTTCAGCTTCACTTTGGCGCGGAGAGGAAGAAACACCTTAACTACGGGGAGTTCACTCAGTTTCTGCTGGTGGGTATGACTGCTGTCTAATTTCTCTTTCTTCTGCCCACCTTTCCCCCCACGTCGTACACCCGAACGCACTCACTTTCACACTGTCCCCATCACATACTTTCCTTCACCGCCGCAGAGCTCGGATCGATGTAATGTCTTGTTTGGTGTGTTTTGTGCCTGGTCTCGCCTAGATTGACACACAGATCTGGGCACGGTTTCCCGCAGCACAGCGAGGCATATTGACCTAGTTAGTCATTAATGAAACACTGGAGTTATATTCCTACGCCAGCATTTGTTTCTCATTAGGTGACGTAACCTCAGAGCAGTCTAGCGATTCCCTTAAAACAGGTAAAGTTTTTCTACAAGAAGAATAGCAGTATTCCTTTTGTATTTGTGGCGTGCTCGAAATTTTCCAATATAGCGTCTAGACCTGAGAGTGGGCAGAGGGGGTGTGAGGGGTCGCTGTGCCAAGTTTGCATCTACGCTCGCTATATCTGAATGAGCTTTTTATATTAAACCTAACTTGGACCAGATGGGTTTTTTGGGAAACTACGAGAAACACGCCGATATTGTGTTTGTGGCCAAGACGGGATTAATTTTGTTTTTGGAACTTGAAAATGATGAAAAAACACATTTCCTGTTTCATTTATTTCATTTTCTTTGAATTGGCAACTTTTTTTATGGTCATTTGATTTTAAAAAACGGTGTTCGATTTGATCCACTCCAGAATGGATGCAGTATCACTGTAAAAATGAACCAGCAGCTTCACGGATGAGAACGTTTAGTCTCAATGAAACCCACAAATACTCAAAATTATTTTCCTTTCCTTTATGAATGGATGCTTTCCAACACTGACGCTGTGTCAATATGTCCTCCTGCAAATATGACATGTCGGAAATCTGGCTCTTCCGTCAGAAATGGCATTACTGTGTCTTAGCCAAAGGTGTAACACCTTGCCATTTCTTTAACCTGAACATTGATGATGAGATCTTTAAGTCCGTTTCGCTGTTTAATTGCGGTTTTAATGCCAGCGCTTGAATTGAAATAATTGACCCAAACAGAGGTGGCTCATCAAATGTTTTTATTTGAATCCAAAGACAATTAAAGGCACAATAAATGCCATGGTGGTTTCAATATTGGCTTTCGGAGGTTCTGTTCTTCTCCTACCTAAATAAAAACCATGCTTTTGAAACACTCGCAGTTGCAGTAATTTAAGGTTTTAAGAGACTAACTGTAAACTGTAAGGTTCAGAGCCACAATTATTATGCAATTCCACATGCTTGTGGCTGGAGCAGCACAATGCAAGACAGGAAAAATCTGCAGCCAGATATTATTTACCTCTACCTCTGCTCTTGTTGTATTTACAGTGCTACTGGCATTTCCTCCTTGTTTAAAACACTGTTTGTGAAAGGCACAGGAGCATGCATAAGATGTATTTTTCCTAAATAAATCGTCTTTGTTTTTCCAGCATCTGATTTGCAAATATTTAAATAAGTATATTGATGTGAAAAATAGGTTAATAATAGAGAAATTACCTGTAACAATCTGTAACTGTGTTATTTTAGGGGTTTTTTTTACGAGGAGAGTGACATTTCTATAATATCAGAAATAGGTTAGCACGTTAGAGTCTGACATTCAAAGCTTTGACATTTTCTCTAATAGTGTTTTTTGCGCAGGCGTTCCTTCTATACGAAGACACGTCCATATTCGCACAGCAGACCTATATTTCCAGTATTTTGGACCGGCTGCTCAATTATGCTGCTGGGAGAGAGAAAAACAACTCTCTTTAAGAGCCTGAGATGTGTAAGAAAGTCATTCTCGTCTCTTGATGTGATACTGCAACCGTTCCAGACGAGTCGCACAATCGACAAAATGAGAGTTTCCTCTCTATCAGATGTCTCAAAGCAAAATAAACAAATACATAAAATATGTGTATTGTAGAAACATCATGAACAATAATTTAATCTTTTTTAAAAAAAATAAATATATATTTATATATTTTAAAACAATAATTTGTTGATCCCATAAAGCATTGTCTTTTTGTTAAAATATTTTTGATTTAAAAAATAATATTATAATTAATATATATTTATATTAAATTTTAAACTAAACATATTGATGCATTTTGATTCAGATCAATGCACAGGATTAATTTAATCTTTATATTTATTACCTTTTACATAATATTTTTTTTATATCATCTGGAGCTGATTTGACCTTTTAAAGAAATGATTTGTTTGCATTTTTACATAATAAATGCCAGCTGTACAGCATAGGCTACATCTCACTTGGTTTATGTTATAAAATCACATGCATGTAATATATCTATATCTGTTGTTGTTGTTTTTTGCAGTAAGAATTGTTCCAATTCAGCATTCGGTAAACTACCAGCATGCAGATACAGATTGACATTCACTGTGTTGCAGGAGATGCAGCTTGAACATGCCAGACAGGCTTTTGCACAGAGAGACAAGGTCAGGACCGGCGCCGTCACGGCTCTGGACTTCAGGGACATCATGGTGACCATCAGACCCCACATGCTCACACCATTTGTGGAGGAATGCTTAGTTGCAGTGAGTTTAGTTTAAATATGTTTTAGCCTTTTCAGCCAGTGGCTGTACTGAATGACAGTTTCTGGATAGTTTTTTTTTTCTCACATAAACCACCGGGAGATATTTGTTTGCAAGGTGTGTGTGTGTGTGTGTGAGCAGTCTGTTTTATACACACTCCATGGAGTCTGTCATTTTCTCCATGATTTGTGACTCATAAACCTTGGGATTCTGGGAGATGTTTGTAAACACACAATTTCAAGGCCATTAGAAATAAATTAAAGACAATGCGCTCGTCAGACCCAGTCTATACACTCAATCCTCTAATTTAGATGCCTTGCAAAACAAGACAGGAGGTATAAACATTTTATCACATCTACATAAAGGTTTATAGTTTTTTTGTGGCCAGGTTTATGCAGGGATTTTACTAATGACATCTTGGTTAAGGAAACTTCAGAGCTGGTCTGATTTTTTTGTGGCTTCAGGTGGACGTCACCATTTCTGCAAAGCACACAGCGCCATCTAGTGAGAGACAATCCGCTCTTGCCTTTCTTTCCCAAACCCTCTTAGGGCTCCAGAAGACAGCTATGCAAGCGCTCTTTCAGATAAACTACACTTCAGCCAGTCTCTAACGTCATCAAATACATATGAAATATTTTAAATTTCAATGTTGAACTGCTTAAAATTTTAGCTGGTCTGGTCACTGCCTAGTTTTCCTTTTCCTCCCTCCGGTTTCATATGCCATCAGAGTGGCCGAGGGAGCGTTTACACCAAGCATTCTGTCAGATGCTATTTAAAGATCTACCTCATGTTAGTTTTCCACTTTATATGTCCCTCTTCTCATAAAACAGCTTAATTAAAAATGGCCCTCAAGCTTGGATCCCTCTGAAATTGCCAGTGTGGCTCTCTGTGAAACACATGTATTTATTTAGCGCTCTGTGGGGTGGAAGTGCTAAAGATGTCGCCGCACTGTAGCTTGATTAATGTTTGGCACTCCATAGAATTCTCAGCTATTTATCACCTCTGTCCCTCATAAAAGGATGTCTTCGTGCAAATGTCTGTGTGTGCGTCTGCCAAATTTGCAGGCAGCCGGTGGCAGTACGTCACATCAGGTCAGCTTTTCCTACTTTAATGGCTTCAACTCTCTGCTAAACAACATGGAGCTCATTAGGAAGATCTACACCACCCTGGCAGGCAACCGCAGAGATGTGGAAGTTACTAAAGGTTAGTGTTTTTTTAAAATCCTGTTTTGTTTTGACTTGTCCTTCCTCCCCTGATTAGACTGACTGGCGCTGCGTCCGAATATGCATACTTCCATGTGTAGTATGTGACAAACTGGTTAAACTTTATATTAAGGTGACGTAGTTACATTGCACTTACTCAAATAAGTACTGAGTAATAATAATGAACTACATGTACTTACTATAGAGTTAGGGTTTGATTTAGGGCTAGTTACTTGTAATTATGCATAATTTATCGTTAGTACTATAGTAAGCACATGTAGTAAAGTGTAACTATGTCACCTTAAAATAAAGTGTTACCGAAAAACTATAAAGGAGCCAAGTAGTATGCCTGAATTCATAGTATTCATAATTCACAGTATTCACCTACTTCTTCCGGTGAGATTCTGAAGTGTGCATAGGATGGACACTTTACTGTCCCATGAGGCCACGCGTGAGGATTTGTGAATGGCAGGGAAGCGCCGCAACTGACACGATAGGTCACATGACAATGTCTACATGGTGGATGTATTACATTCAAATATCATTCACACTATATAGAACATACTTTTTTAAATGGTCGTGAAGTAAGTTTCAAACCAAATACTATACAGTATGCGATTTCGGACGGAGCGTGGATGTGCCACGAAAAACACAATGTTACCCACAATGCATTGCTGTAGATATCTCTGTTCGCTTGTCATGTATACAGTATGTGTGTTGTTGACGCATTATAATTGTTGGTAACACTTTACAATAAGGTTCATTCGTTAACATTAGTTAACTACCTTAGTTAACATGAACTAATAATGAACAATACTTCTACAGCATTTATTATTCTTAGTTAATATTAGTTTCAACATTTACTAATACGTTATTAAAATCAAAGGTTGTATTTGTTAACATTAGTTAATGCACTGTGAACGAACATGAACAGCTGGATTTGTATTAACTAACATTTACAAATATTAATAAATACTCTAACAAATGTATTGCTCATTGTTAGTTCATGTTAGTTAACTAATGTTAACTAATGAACCTTATTGTAAAGTGTTACCATAATTATTTGTATTATGTAATGTGTAATTTTATATAAATAAATATGCAATTATAGTATTTAAATAGTACATCTTGCGCAGATTCATTCAATTTTAAAAACTATTTTTTTTTTTTTACATATTATATATGTTGTCATGCACTTAAATGAATTGTGTAATTTAAAATAAATATAGAATTTTCTCTCTCTCTCTCTCTCTCTCTCTATAAATCTATATTTATCTGTATATTTATATATTGCTCAATTATTTTTAACATTTATTTATTTATTAACAACTCATCTTTAGCTCATTAAAAGAAGAGAAATAACTTTGAAAAGCTGTCGGTAGCCCACCAAGGAGTGCATTTTTGAAACCAATCCCCCAAAACCTTAAAAAACCTTTGGTCTGTGTCTCCCTGACCAACTGCTGACCTGTGAAACAGCCCTCATAGTCTGGCTGCAATGGAGCTCTGCGTCTTGGACACACACGCTCCTGCTGAACACACCCCGGCTGCGATGCTATCAGCCCTGTGGAGACCGGGGCCAGGGGTGGGGAGGCTACATTTACCACTGCTGTTCCCACAGAGGCTGTAGGCCGCCATCGGGCTCCGGTGGGACCTGTGCGTGCGAATTTCCATGTCTACTTCTCTTGTTGACCCTCAGCTGATTGGTTCCGTATGTTTTGAGCGGTACGCCGAAGCATAGTTTCGTCATTGCAACAGCGATTGCTCTCCACCTGGGGAAAATAGGGAACACATCACCTCGCACACAGGCCGCAGATAGAAAAAAGAGCTTGCAAATGTATAAAAACATTCAACGTGGCTCGGTTTTCTGGCCATCCTAAAGCACTATTTCATCGCTACCGATCACGACTACGTGATTTCAGAGTTACTTTTCCATACTGATACTTGAAAGGCCAACTTTTTTGTAGAATCAAATATGATTTTTGGCACGTCCAATGCTCCTGGCGGCATGTTCCTCGCACTTATCGGTAGCTTGTGTTTGTTTTTGGAGGGAGCTGAAGAGACAGATGCCCTGCGTGATCTTTGATTGGAGCGTTCTTCACACTTCACAGCGTGTTTAAGGCCGGGGTAAGCTGAGCTGGCCTTCATTCAATAGGGCTCTGTGTAAGAACACTTGCTGCCTTTTTCAGACTAGTCACTCTATACCAGTGCAGTGGGAATCCCACTGTTAACCGGCCTGTGTTCATTCTGCTCATTACCACTCTACACTTAACCTGCACAACCAACTGATATCCAATACATTCCCGAATCCCGGACTCAGTGATTTACTAAATATTTGAATGAGTTATAATCACGTAGGAATGCGTGTATGTCAAGTCAAGTCAAGTCACCTTTATTTATACTGCGCTTTTTACAATACCGACTGTTTCAAAGCAGCTTTACAGTGATAAACAGGAAAAGTATGATTAATGATGCAAACAGAAGTCAACTCTGCTCTAAAAAAGACAATAGTGTTATAATTCAGCTGAAGTCAGATCAGCGTTGATTCAGTTTGGTTCAAGAACTGTGTAAAGTTAATCCATTGTGGAATGAGTTCAATTCATCTATAAAGCAGTGATGTCATCGTCCAGCTCAGTTCAGTTCTCAGGGCAGTCAAATCAATAATATTAAGTGTCTCCAACTAAGCAAGTAAAAGGCGACAGTGGCAAGGAACCCAAAATCCATCAGGTGACCAAAAAAAAAAAAAAAAAAAAAAAAAAAAAAACTTGGGAAAAACCAAGCTCAGTCGGGGTGCCAGTTCTGAGTTCAAACATGAGCTGCGTCCCAATGTGCATACTATCCATCCTAAATAGTATGTGACATTAGTAATTGTCAATACTATTTAGGGCAGATAGGGTGGATAGTATGCACATTGGGACGCAGCTATCAGATTAATGTAAAAATATGTCAAAAATAATAGTTTATTAATAGAACAGTGATCAGTACAATAGCAGTAAAATATATTTGGACTGCTTAAAACTTGTAAAACTCTATGAAATAAAACTTTAATTCAAGTAGCTTTTATTTTAATGAAACGTACTGGAAGGCATGGTACACATAGGCTCGTTTTAAAAGAAAATGATCATCTGAATCCCTCCATGAAGAGCCCTTGAACAAGACCGTTAGTGAAGGGAGCATTGCCACTTTCAGGAAGTAATTTTACTGTTTATAATCATGTTATTCTGAGTGGCATTCATTCATTTTGAGGTAATAATTCTTTTGAGGTTTAATTTTAAACCCTCAATTGTGTACCTAAGTAGACTTAAGGACTGTTGAAAATATTATTTACATATTTATGTTACAAATAGAGATGGTGCACAAATTGAACTTATGTTGAATTAAAGACACAAACAGGCAATATTTGACGCGAAAGAATACTTTTAACAGCTATAAATGAGAATTTTGCTCCTGCGTTTCCAAGGTAATGCTCTAAGTGACAATAAAGTGTCAGGGATGTATTGTTTGATATAGGGTGTATGTGACAGTGCCGTCCTGCACTCTTCAGAGTGTTTACTTCAAGTGCTCTGCCCTTCTGAGGGAGTAGGACACTTTCAAACATAATTCACCCACTTCATACATCCACTAAAATGACCTTGCAACCATTTGGCACAAAGAATTTGCAAAAACGACTGAGAAAAGGTTTTGCATCATCTGTTTGCAGATGCCACTTGATTCAATATTGTTATTTAGTCATATATTTTATATGATATGTGGCTCAAGTGGTCAAATGCAGTACCAATCAAAAGTTTAGGGTGAAAAAGATCTTTCTCTAGAAATTATTTGGTATGGATGCATTAATTTAAGTGACAGTAAAGACCGCATTGCTACAAAGAAAAAACAAACTATATATATAAATTATATATAGTTTTATATACACATACTGTAAAAAAATATTGTTGGTTTAAAGGAGCTGTATGTAAGAAATTTATTTCAATTAATCATAAAATGGCCCTGAAATGTCACTAGACATTAAGAAATCATGTACATTTCAAATACTTATATCACTGACAACAGTAGTCTGGCCAGGATATTGTCATTTAAAAAGTGCAGTTGCAGCCCTCAACTGATGTTGATGTTGTCATGTTGTGTTTTGGTCTGATGCTCCACCCTCCACCTATCTACCAATCACGAAGTCAGTAGTGTTGCGGCATCCGGGTTGCCAGCTCTGCTCTAGTTACCACAGCTGCAGCTCGTCACGTTCCTGCTGGATCCTGCAGCCGATCTGGCAACCTCGAGTCAGGGGGAGGGGGAGGGGATACACCACTCTACAGTAATTTGAAAGTGATTGCAGTACTAGTTTTGGCCACAATCTTACACACAGCTCCTTTAACTTAAAAAATGAAGTAACCTGGTTGCCTTAAAATTTTAAGTTCATTGAAATGGAAAAATTTAGTTAACACAATGAAGGAGATTGATTTAATCATCAGAAACTCAAAATATTATGTTATCTGAACCACATAAATTATTTAAGTTGATTTGACAAAAGAAAAAATGTTGTGATTACAAATCATGAACATATTTTTTTTACAGTGTACACACCCGAATTCATATATAATGCTGTTCTTTTGAACTTTCTGTTAATGAATCCTGGAAACAAAATGTATCACATTTCCACAAAACATTAAGCCGCACTGTTTTCAACATTGATAATAACAAGAAATTCTTCTTGAGCAGCAAATCAGCATATTATAAATGCTTTTTTTAAGGATCATGTGACACTGAAGACTGGAGTAGTTATATTGAAAATACAGCTTTGCTGAATCAATTATAATTTATATCATTCAAATAGAAAATGTATTTTAAATTGTAATAATATTTCACAATATTGCTGTAAGTTTACTGTATTTTTGATCAAATAAATGGAGCCTTGGTGAGCATTAGAGACTAAAACATTGTACTTTTTGGAACCACTGTATATCTTTGTGACTAATAATGAATTCATACAAATCACACAAGAATAAAATCCCTCTCTTTCTCTGTTTTCCAGAGGAGTTCATCATCGCTGCCCAAAGGTTTGGCCAGGTGACCCCTATGGAAGTGGACATCCTGTTCCAGCTGGCCGACCTGTCTGAGCCAAGAGGGTGAGTCACCATGGCAACAGTCACCGTCTGAGAGCCTCTCCCCATGAAGAGGAGGGTTCGAGGCTCAGCCATAACACACTTCAGCTCAGCCTCTGTGCTTCAGAGCCCTCTAGCCACTCTCGCCTTCTAAAAACGGCATTGTTTGACTTCTGTAATTATATGTGAAAAGTTTTCTGGTCTCTATTCTGAGTCTTGTTCTGGCAATTGCATAGTCGATGATACATGACTCTTCCTATTATTGTACAGCGGGAGGTTTTGAACACAGTCCAGCTTGTTCTAGCTTTTCTGCAGCATGTAGCGAGCACACATGTTTCCACACTGCTGAACTGTAATGAGCTTGGAAGTATATTTACTAAATATCTGCTCTGAGCCGTAATCATGGTGAGCTAAACCCATCTTTTGGAAACCAAAGATATCGCATGAACATATTTGTAGAGTCAGATACCCTGACCTATGAACTGACTTATGGCTCTGCTTGGGTGGGTCTTAAAATATCTCTGGAGTAAACGCTGATCTGAAATTGCTTTTTGGACATTATTATTTCTTTGCAATGTGATACTGTAATTGCCCAACTCCCTTTGAGTTAAGATTGTGAGGTTGTTACTTGTGAGGGCACACTATACCTACCACTCTTCCTCAAACATCTTGAAGATATTGTGCTCTGAAAAAGTCGGAATCTGTTTAGCCGTTTTAATATTTCTGCCTGTGTTTTTGCTGTCTACAGGCGTGTTGGTTTAGTTGACATTGAGATGATTGCACCTCTGGAGGAGGGAGCTCTTCCTTACAACCTCGCTGAGATTCAAAGACAGGTAAGCTACAGAATCTTGTCTTAAAGAGGTCCTATTATGCTATTTTACATTTTCAACTTATTTAGTGTGTAATATTGCTGTTTGGGCATGAAAAAGATCTGCAAAGTCACTCAAAGGCAGTTATTCTCTATATCAGTGTCACTGTTTTTGAACTCCCTGAAACGCCCTCCATTGTAGTCTTGAGTTTTCTTCCGGGAACAAACACTTCACAATATTCCTCATTTAAATAATTCCCGCCCAAGACATGGGGGGCTGGTTGAGTTAGTTAGTAGTGTGTTGAAACTCGTGTTATAGTAAGGGGCGGGACATTACCCAAACATGCTCGGTTGACCAATCACAACAGTTGACCAATCAGAGCACATTGCGCTTTTCAGAAGGAGGGGCTTCATGGAGACAGGAACTAAACAGAGCGTTACTGACAGACTGGGAAGAGAGGAGCTGCAACAATGGAGAATATGTGAAAAATAATGTGTTTTTTGAATATTCAAGCATGAACACCAATGGGTCCTTGCTGAATTTTTCTTTCAAAAAAATTTGGTAACACTTTACAATAAGGTTTCATTTGTTAACATTTCTTTCAAAAAAATTTGGTAACACTTTACAATAAGGTTTCATTTGTTAACATTAGTTACTATATTAACTAACATGAACTAACCGTTACTTTGTTAGCATTAGTTAATAAAAAATAAAGTTGTTCATTGTCTGTTCATGTTGGTTCACAGTGCATTAACTAATGTTAACAAATACAACTTTTGATTTGAATAATAATGTATTAGTAAATGTTGAAATGAACATTAACAACGATCAATAAATGCTGTAGACGTGCAGTTCATTATTAGTTCATGTAAACTAATGTACTTTTTAACTAAAAAATCCTTATTGTAAAGTGTTACCAAAAATGCTACTGATCACTTTTAAGCAGTAGTGTATAAATTAATGAATAAATAAATAATAACAAAAAGAGATACATAAAGGATAATTACAAACATAATAAGGCGTATTCTTCATGCATTTACACTTGCACTCATTGCAATCTCAAATTCTCAAAGAGACATGACAGCATAAGTAAATGTAGTGGCGTTTACGGTGCATTCTTGAAATGCTTTGCACTTGAGCGATTTTGACTCTCTGGTTAGCAGACTTACAACTGAAATAGGGAGTGGATTGTTCCCTTTTTTTTAACATCTTGGTTGCTTTTATGGTAGATGAAGATATATTTTGAGAACTCGTGTTTATAAATTCAGATCAACGCATCATTTCCAGCCCCTCTGGAATTTTTCATCCGCTACTGCTGAGCTCGAGCCTTCGCTTTGACCAGAGCAGTGAAAGAAGAGAACATCTGAATCTGTCATCGGCACACAGAACGCACATATAAAAAGCTGTAAATGAAACGCAAGCCCAGCAGTCGAGGAAACTTATCAACGTCTGATGGCGAGATGAGGGGAAATGAAAACAGACAGAGAGGCTTGAATACTCTACAGGAAAAAGAAAGAGAATGTGTCTGTGCCTAGATATTCCCTCTTTATTTTATCAGAAGTTCTGCCTCCAAACACATTGAGGGCTGAGTTATTCCTTCGCGCAGGGCCGTTCGAAGCGGGGGCCCGGGACAGAGACGCCAGTCCCACCACAATGAGCCGCTTTGGGCTGTGGTCTGGCCTTATGGGCTGCTGGCCAGCTCTCCCTCACCACCTACCCCCCCAAACACAGTTTATCCCACACCCTTAACCCCTCAGTGAGCCTGAGAGAGGGGCGGTCCGGGCAGTTACCTTGAGGTTCCTGACAGGTGGTCCCGGGTAGGCAGGGCGACTGTACCTCCGGCGGGGAATGTAGCATGGGACGCTTGGATGGTTCTGGCTGGCCTTATTTCTTGTGCTCTCTCTAACTGTGGGGGGACGGCCGTGGCTGGACCCGCTTGACTGTGGTTTCTGCTCGTCCTAACTAACACTATGCTAAAAAACTGCATTTCTCATTACATAGGAGGTTGGATCAAACTAAGTATTTTAGTATGTTTTAGTTACTGTTATTAATTTAGTTTCGGCATACCGACTCATTCGATCTTCTATTTTCTTCGTTCATTTTAGAATATTAGTAATTTCATCAAAACTGTTACACAAATGAAAGGGGACATTTTAAATTCAAACTTCAAATTTCTCCAAAACACCAGATTTGAGTTATATAAGCAAAAAAGAATTATCTGTAAAATTATATACAAATGGCAATATTGTGAAATATTATTACAATTTAAATGAACTATTTTCTTCTTTTTATATATATATATTTTTTTTATTTTAATATATTTTAAAATTTAATTGAATTTTCAGCAGCCATTAATCCAGTTTTACATGATACATTCTAATTATTGTATGCTGATTTGGTGCTCAAGAAACTTTTCTTTGTATTATCGATGTTAAAAATGTATTATATTATGTAATATAAAAAATTTCTGAAAAAAGCCACTCTTTGCTTTGGTAACAGCTTTGCAACTTTTTATTTGTAAGCTATATTATATTATATTTGGAAAAAGCCTCTTTGATTTTGATAACACCGTTGCAACATTTTATTTATAAGCGATATTCTATTCTATTCTATTCTATTCTATTCTATTCTATTCTATTCTATTCTATTCTATTCTATTCTATTCTATTCTATTCTATTCTATTATAAAAGCCACTATTATATTATATTATATTATATTATATTATATTATATTATATTATATTATATTATATTATATTATATTTATTATATTGGGAGTTCTGATTCTCTTGTCTTTTTTTTTTTTTTTTTGCTGTCTGCAGCAGTCTGGCGGGGACGCGTCTCGCTCGGTTCTGCTTCAGGCTTCTGAGTCGGCGTACAGGTTCACCCTGGGCTCTGTGGCTGGAGGTGAGTCAGTCACGGATCAGTGTGCACCACCCGTTTACCTGAGCCCGCAGCCGCTGCTTCTCCACACGAGAAATAGCTGCACTGGACAAAAAGAAAAACAAAGCCTGCCCTATTGCCTTCTTAGGAAGTTATTTCTCCCGTTTAATGAGGTTGTGCACCATGGGAACCTCCTGGGTGGATTCTTTTGTACCTGTGAGTGATCAGAGGTGTGTGTGTGTGTGTGTGTGTATGTAAGGAGGTGGTGCTTGGGCCTGTGTTTGGCTCCAGACTGGCTCTCTCGGAGGAGACAAGGTAATAAGGAGGTAGTGCAGGGCGACTCACTCTTTAATTAAGGCTGTCGGTGCTGTATTCCCTTTGTGTCCACCCCAAAGTTGGCAGATAAGAATTGACTGATGTGCTCTGCAAATATATCCTGACTTTCTTCCCATCCGGTCTTTTCAATTGTTGTTTGATGTGTCCTTCATCAGCCCCCTTGGGTGTGCATCTCTTTTAACAGTCTTGCTTTTCCATATCGTTTGTAGTTTTAAACAAATTTCCTCTCACGACAGCCGTGGGTGCCACCGCCGTGTACCCCATCGACCTGGTGAAGACCCGCATGCAGAACCAGCGTTCTTCAGGATCCTTCGTGGATGAGCTGATGTATAAGAACAGCATTGATTGCTTCAAGAAGGTTGTGCGCTACGAGGGCTTCTTCGGTCTCTACAGAGGTCAGTGGCTCCGCACGGCCAGGCCATCAGAGACGCACCAACAAAAAGCGTTTTCATGAAAGCCAGGGGCAGGTCACGTTCCCTCTGACCTTTCCTGCTTTGAAGAGATTAATTCTACCTTTGCTGCTTGAGGGGACAATGTGCCGAGCATGAAAGGGCACATACCAGCACAGGAACTTAACAATGAAGAACATGAATGCTCTATGCAGTCAATGGCGCTCAGATAATAAGTATCTGCTCTGCTTTTAGAGCTGGAACATGAGTTTTTAAAGCATTCTGTGAGGTCACAGATTCAAATTGTGATTGCAAGGTGCAATTGCCATGTGACCTCCATTGAGAACACTAACTACTGGTATTTGTCAATCATAAAGCTGACAAAAGAGAGGCTGAGATCTTCATCACCCGTGCAGAATTATAACGGGATGGTACGAACATTCAGTGCTCGTTTTAGCAGAGCATATCAGTGCTTTATGACACGGTGCACTGTATTTGAAGTGAGCACAAAGTGCTTTTGTTTTGCATATAAATACAGTAGTTTAGTTTTTAACAAGGAAGTGGGCAGACCAGGCTTTTAGCAAATGCATAAAAAACACCTTAAAGACTAACACAATGTTTGGTGTACATTTAGTACACAAGCGTCTTTCCCATTGTAGCTTGATTTGAAATGTTGTGTAACTTCAAAAAAATAAAAGTTTGATGATTAAGGTGAACAATAATTGTAAGTACAGGTTCATTCTGTTTTCTTCTTTAGCATGTCTGCCTTCAGATTCCGTAATGCAGGGCAGTAATAAACATATTCACTAATACATTTCATCACATAATAAAAGTCACACGGATTGTTTAATAAAAAGTAGAAGCACAGAAATTGGTAAAGTCAACAGCCAATGATCCTGGCAAACACAAAGAAATGAGCAGCATGCGAGAACAATAACTGTTTACGGGATATTCGATGGATGATTAAGTTTGAAAAATATATTTCTTTTCTAATTCTCTGTGTGTATATAAACACAAATGCGTCCGTAGGCCATGCACGCAGGAAATGTTTGTATTCATCTAGCTGTGTGGCCTATTTGGACTCGTACAGTATGCCCACGTTACCGAGTTTGTTTGTTACTGCCGGGGGTGGCTCATCACTTTTAAATCAGATAATTTAGTTTATTTTTGTCTAAGCCAGAAATCTGTGTTGTAATTGAGGGCTGTGTAAACTTTGGTTAAGGCTGTTTTTAAAGGCAAATAGAGTTTGTAGTACTGTTAAGTTTCCAATATTTAAGCACTCCACATCAATAGTGTTCATTAGTGCGTGGATGATAGGGAATTGGAGGCAGCGCTGCAGCTTTTATATTGAGGAAAGTCGTGCTTCCCTCACCCCTGTCTTTTTTAATCAACTTGTTTTCTAATTATAGGCCTCGTACCGCAGCTTCTGGGCGTGGCTCCCGAGAAAGCCATAAAGCTTACAGTAAGTGCTCTGCCTTCACCACATCAGCGTGGCCTCCGAAAACCAAAGCCCTTAACTCCTCAGAAATACACCCCTCTTCTTTTCTCGCCGGCCCGCCTGCTGCCCGACTTCAGTGCCTCGCCTTAGCCCCTTGAAAAAGAAGTGAATCTGTTTTCTGTTTGATCCCCTGTCAAAGGGGTTGACATTCTTGCATTCTTGAGTTGGGCATCAGCAGGCTCACGTGTACTTTGTTTCTCGTAATTGTGACTTTTTATCTCACCGTCGTGAATTTGCATCTGACAGTGCGATTATGTATTTTATACTTATGACATTGTCACAATTGCAACTTTACATCTCAGTTGCGAGTTTATATCTCAAAATTGTTACTTTATATCTCGAAATTGCAAGTTTGTATCAAAAATTATTTCTGGATATCTCAAAATTGCAACTTTCACAGCTGTCAGGAGCCACTTTATATCTCAGAATTGTGACTGGATACCTCAAAATTGCACTTTTTTTATCTCACATTTCACTTTATATCTCAGATGTCAGATGCCACTTTATATCTCAGAATTGTTACTTTGTCTCAAAATTGTGACTATATCAAAAATTTGACTGGATATCTCAAAATTACAACCTTTAATCTCACAGTTGACTATATCTCAGCTGTCAGCTGCTATTTTTTTTTTATCTCAGAATTGTGACTATATACATTTTTTTTTTACTGGATACCTCAAAATTGCAACTTTTAATCTCACATTTGACTTTATATCTCTCAGATGTCTGACTTTATATCTCAGAATTGTGACTTTATATAACATTTTTGACTGGATACCTCAAAATTGCCATTTTTTAACTCGCATTTGACTTTATATCTCAGCTGTCAGCTCAGCTGCCACTTTATTTCTCAGAATTGTGACTATATCTCAGTTGTGACTTTACATCTCACAGCTGTCAGCTGCCACTTTTAATTCAAAATTGATATTTCAAAGTTTTGTCTTTTTATCTCAAAGTTGTGACTTTATAACTCACAATTGCCACTTTGTTATAATTGTGACTTTTTTTCTCAAAATTGCAAATTTTATTACTCAGTTGTGACTTTATATATTACAATTGTGACTTCAATATATCATATCATTGTGACAAATTGTTATAATTGTGACTATATCTCTTAAATTAAATTTTTTATTCTGAGGCACAAAAAAGGCTTTAATATGAAAATCTTGAGAGCCCGTCGCCTTCACTGACCATCACTGGCCGCCTGCAATCCAGTTTAACCAGACACTATAGTGTAGACTGCTATAGTTTCAATTAAGCCACTTTTTGTATAATTCCTTGAATTGAGTGCTAAAACAACCCCCTAACAACTTGCAAGAGGCGTTCGAATTCTGATCAAATTTGCAAATGTGCAGGTGTAGAAGTCTGCAATGCAGATCTTTTCCTTGAAGAAACTATAGCTGATGCTACATTGTGGGTTTTTTTCACAGGTGAACGACTTTGTGAGAGGAAAGACTATGCAAAAAGATGGCAGCGTTCCTCTACCTTCTGAAATCTTGGCTGGCGGATGTGTGAGTTGCTCTTTGCTTTGATACGCCAACATATAATCCACACATCACGCAGTAACAGTACACTGACAAAGAGGAGTTTAGTTTTGAATGTCAGTGGACTTTGAGGTCTAAGCCTTGGCCTGAGGGAACACTTCTCTCCTTTTGTGAGGTGATTGAAAAGACACTTCAGCCCCATCAGTGTATAAAAACATGTATAAAACACTTCTCCTCTGTCATCTCCCCTCTAAATCACGGTCTGCCGCCCCACGGGCTGCCGGTTGTTCTCAACCTGCCCCTCACCAGCATGAGGGGGGATCACTTACCCTTTTCATTAGAAGCGACTGACGTTATTAATGCATCGTTTCCATGAGCTGTCAGATCTGTGTTCCGTCAGTTCAGGTTTCAGAGAGTAGTAGCCTCTTCCTGTTTGAGTCATACCTGAGACCTGTCAAAACCAGACCCTGCTTCTTCACGTCTCCCCCGACCCAGGACTCTGAAAGAGCCTCTTTCACATGACAGTGATCGCTAAAACATTTCTACACACGTGGGTTTCCTTTTAAAAGCGACTCTTAGATGATTGCGAGACTCTGTTATACCAACATGAGTGCATTTAGCCCACACGATCTCTGCTCTGAGATTTGAAAAGAGATGGCCACGGAAACAACGGGTTGGTTGCAGATGAAGTCAGCTCAGAAAGGCGGCTTGTGCCAATGAGATGTGTTTTTCCTCCTCTGATTTCTCTGACAGCTCCTTTCATCCCAGACCGAATCCCCAGTGTTTGGCCTGGCAGGATCCGCTCCCGTTCTCACGCCTGTACACGCGCCGCTCGCTCAAAGCCGTGTTTATTGACACTGCAGCCACGGCAAATCAAATCTATTTATTTGGTTTGAGAGGGAAAAGACTGGACTGCTGATTTGTGCACCATGAATGTTCCTGTCTGAAGGAGGAGAGTAGAAATCACAGAAAACGAAAGAGATGGTGAGGGTTATGAAACTGCTGGGATTCAAATGTAGTTTTTTTTTTTTTTTTACATTTTAAGCTCCTCTCTTGTCACATTGGGTCCTCTGAATTAGGCCCTTGACAGTTGCCAAGAGTTGGTCATTTGGTAAGAACAGCACGCTTCGCTGGCCGAGCAGTTGGCTGGATTCTTATCTGGTTGTTGCTGGCCTTCATTTGAGGGCTGGGTTTCTCAAAATACTCGCTTAGCCAACGTAAAGTGCCGTAGAGAGCGGGGGGAAAACCGTGGCACGCATACAGTGACGCTTTGTTCATTTGCAGTGCGAGCTGTGTAATTTAGCTTGTCCTGTATTTCTCAGCATTTGTAACGGTTTGTTAGTCAGTTGCGAAACCTTTTTTTTTTTTATCGCAATGCTTTCATTTCTACGCAAAAATGCTTGTGTAATCCGTTTAAGTGCGAGGAATGTGAGGGAGCATTAATGAGGGGAGGCTAATGTTTGTGTCTGGCGCTGAGCTATTGTTTTTAGAAGACTGAAGTGTTTTGTGTGTGTGTGGTGCTGACGCGCTTGGTGTGCGTAAGTATTTGTCTTCAGCTACGATCTTCTCGCCAGTAGAGCGTGTATTCGGTACACACACACACACACACGCTCTCAGTGCCTCTGGGGATTACCTTGCCTTGTAATTACCACCGAATTATCGAGCCGACGCTGCCTCACTCTGCACTCACATCGCATTTCTTGCAGTCACGTTGCAGCACGTGCTTCCCGCTCTTTAAACTGCCTCTCCTCCAGAGGTGATTGATCTTTTGTTTCTCTCTAACCGATGTTCTTGTTCTCTTTGTGTAACTTTTTTTAAATGTCCAATTAGTACCCAATTAATGCGGCTAATAACCTGGCCCTCTCCTTAGTGTATTATTCCTTTCCAAAACAAGTTTGAAAAAAGATTGCTCTCAGCCCTGATGCCATAATTAACCATAAAAGATTACTTTCCACATAAATAAGTGGCATTTTCCATGAATAGGGTACAAGATAGGATGTGAAACTCGTAACTACGTTTTTTTTCTCAGTAACAGGAAGTGCTTAACCTTCAGAAAATGTTGATTGTGACTGAGTAATTAAGCAATAAACACAATAAAAATTTTAACAGGGTTGCAACTTTTATGAAATTACATTTTTCCCAAAATTAAACAAAAAAAGTTTTTTTTTCTACTTGCATAATCTGGGTAACAGGGTTTTAGAAGTGAGCTTTATGCATTCAACATTACGGTTGTGTAAAAATATAGGATGTGTGATGATTTAATTACCGTTTAAATTAGCTTGTTTTGCTGTAGAAAGGATCCAAACAATGTTACAAATGTTGGGTGTCACAAATTAAAGGAAAATGTGTGTGTGTGTATATATATATATGTATGTGTGTGTGTGTCTGTATAAAATTATGTGTGTGTATGTATATGTGTATATATATATGTGATTATCTTTGTGTATATAATGTATGTTTATAAAATGTTTGTAGAAAATTAAAAACAGTTTTCTTATGACCATGAATTTAATATCTTTTCAGTCAATTGAGAAAATGCATTTGATTTAAATGATTTCAATTGTTAGATACGACAGAGACGAGAGCACTGAGGTGAGACAAGACAAAGAAAGTCCCTATTTTAGTCTTCATGCTAGATTAATTTTATGTTAGATAATGGTTTATCTAATATTTCTGATTGTTCTCAAAAAAAAAAAGGGGATTTGTGCTTCTAATACTTAAAAAAAGAAGATAATTGGACTCCAAAATAAACTGTATTCATGAAATGTGCCAACTATTAAGTCGTAGCTGTGATTTGTGAAAGGTAGGCAGTTCTCTCTGTAATTTCCTCTGGAAGGGAAGTGTGGGGTCAATCTGCTCCGTCCTATTTAAAGAGCACCTTCAATGAGATGATAATGATCTTTATTTTTAAATATGCTGCCTCGTACTCGGTGGGATTTTTAAATGCGCACACTTGTGAGATTCGAGACTCATTTACCAGATTCCCGTAAGACGGCCCCGTACGTTAATATCTCTGAAAGAATGGAGGAATAAAATCAACAACAAACAAACAGTAAGGCCCTTATGTATTCAAAAGGAGGGCTGAGGGAAGGAGAAGAAATCCATGGAAACTGATTTCCATCTAATTACACTGCTCTGTTTTTCTGTGTGCAGCCTCAGTAACTATGAGCAACAGGAAAGATAGGGCACGGAGGCGGCAAGCGGACAGCCTCTTTGGCGAGACACGTTTAAATGCTTCTGTTGCAGCTTCAGATGCGGTCATGTCAAACTCGAACCATTTCAAAGAACTCGGAGGAACCTGTTCCAACCTGCAGAGGCTTTTTATCTGCCTCGCAAGTACAAGGTTGGAGACATGAGGTTGTTTTTCGAGAGGCCCCCAGGGGCCTGCGTTCTGTGTGATGTTTCAGGCACCGTCTGTCTTTGGCAGGTTCGACCTCCGCCTCCTACAAAGAGTGACAATAGCACAATCATTCTCAGGGCCCAGCTTGAAGCATTGTCCTCTTACAATGAGAATATCACATTACTTCCCTCTTGTCATTTTTGCCTTTCCACTTTGAGTTCATCAGAACGTATTTACAATAGTAAGAGACTGATCTGTACATTTAGTTTTTTCTCCCCCTCATTTACACTCCTCACTCAAAAACATGATCGTCTATGAAGCTCTGTGAAAAAAAAGCTGTATGCTTGTGTTGTTGATCTTCAGGCTGGGGGATCTCAGGTGATCTTCACAAACCCTCTGGAGATCGTGAAGATCCGACTGCAGGTGGCAGGAGAAATCACCACAGGGCCACGCGTCAGCGCTCTCTCCGTCATCCGTGACCTGGGGTTCTTCGGCCTGTACAAGGTATGTCTCACTCGCACAAAACAGCCTGAAACCTAATTCTCAAACATCAAACACATCTACTCTGCGCTTGAGGTATGTACTTCACTGGTGCATGCTTTTGCTTGTTATTTAGTAAACAATATAAATGAGTGGGAAATATGTCTTCATGTACAGTAAATGTCAGCATTTGGTTGAATTCAGTATGCTCATTACATGAATTAGTAAAAAGTGACAGGAAAGACATTTATAGTGTTACAATAGATTTCTATTTCAAATAAATGCTGTTCTTTTGGACTTTCATCAAAGAATCCTGAAAAGAATGTATCATGGTTTTCACAATAAGAAGAAGTGTTTTTCGAGCATCAAGTCAGAATATCAGAATAATTTCAAAAGGATCATGTGACTGAAGAAGAGTAATGATGCTGAATTTTAAACATTTTAATTGAAAACAGTTATTTAAAATTGTAAGTATATTTTACAAAATGACTGTTTTTACTGTATTTTTAATCAAATAAATTCAGCCTTGATGAGCATAAGACTTCTTTTTCAAAAACATTTTCAACCCTAAACTTTTCAATGATCGATTATTTATTTAGACTGTTCTAAAAAAAAAAAAAACTTTTAGTATATCGTTTTTTGTTGTTTTGAAATTTAAGAGTTTGTATATTTAATATCTACTCAAATATATCTCGAAGATATTGTACTTTGTACCACACTAAAGACCCAGAGGAGCATCCTCAGCTCTCTAGCGCCTCCCACCTGTGGATTCACTCCCTGCACTCCCTCTTATGTCCCAGAGTGCCTCAGTCATGCTCCACATTCTCCAGCAAGTCTCCACACCCACACACACACACACACACACACCATCATGGCTCAATCCACCCCCTGCGGGCCGCTGTAGCAGTCGGGCCAGGCAGCCCCAGCCTCTCAGATCAGCTCCCTGAGTGCTGCTTGTGTGTCCTGTTTTCCCATGAGGCTCAGCAGCACTGCAGGAGAACATCTCCAGTGCATCTGAGCAGGGATGCAGGGCTGCATTCCTGAGGCTTGGAGAGCAGGAGGTTGCGGAGAGCGAGTGTTTTGGTGTAAACAGCGTTGTGGGGACTGCCATGATGGTGTTGGGTCATATCTCATCCAGTGGCTGCGTTCTCTGACATTAATGGACAGCTGGAGAGAGATTAATGAGGCGTGTTCACCTCTGCGTAGGTGTTATGTGTGGTGCTAATTATATGTGGATGCTTGATGTTGTTTTATGCTGTAATAATAACTGATGTTCACTTTTTTAAAATTATTACAGAGGCAGTAGAGAGGACAGTAAATAACGGGGAGAAGAGGAAAACTTAAATAAATTCTTAACGCTAGGCCACAGCTCTGCTTAGAATATATATATATATATACACTCACCTAAAGGATTATTAGGAACACCATACTAATACTGTGTTTGACCCCCTTTGGCCTTCAGAACTGCCTTAATTCTACATGGCATTGATTCAACAAGGTGCTGAAAGCATTCTTTAGAAATGTTGGCCCATATTGATAGGATAGCATCTTGCAGTTGATGGAGATTTGTGGGATGCACATCCAGGGCACGAAGCTCCCGTTCCACCACATCCCAAAGATGCTCTATTGGGTTGAGATCTGGTGACTGTGGGGGCCATTTTAGTACAGTGAACTCATTGTCATGTTCAAGAAACCAATTTGAAATGATTCGAGCTTTGTGACATGGTGCATTATCCTGCTGGAAGTAGCCATCAGAGGATGGGTATATGGTGGCCATAAAGGGATGGACATAGTCAGAAACAATGCTCAGGTAGGCCGTGGCATTTAAGCGATGCCCAATTGGCACTAAGGGGCCTAAAGTGTGCCAAGAAAACATCCCCCACACCATTACACCACCACCACCAGCCTGCACAGTGGTAACAAGGCATGATGGATCCATGTTCTCATTCTGTTTACGCCAAATTCTGACTCTACCATCTGAATGTCTCAACAGAAATCGAGACTCATCAGACCAGGCAACATTTTTCCAGTCTTCAACTGTCCAATTTTGGTGAGCTCTTGCAAATTGTAGCCTCTTTTTCCTATTTGTAGTAGAGATGAGTGGTACCCGGTGGGGTCTTCTGCTGTTGTAGCCCATCCGCCTCAAGGTTGTGCGTGTTGTGGCTTCACAAATGCTTTGCTGCATACCTCGGTTGTAACGAGTGGTTATTTCAGTCAAAGTTGCTCTTCTATCAGCTTTAATCAGTCGGCCCATTCTCCTCTGACCTCTAGCATCAACAAGGTATTTTCGCCCACAGGACTGCCGCATACTGGATGTTTTTCCCTTTTCACACCATTCTTTGTAAACCCTAGAAATGGTTGTGCGTGAAAATCCCAGTAACTGAGCAGATTGTGAAATACTCAGACCGGCCCGTCTGGCACCAACAACCATGCCACGCTCAAAATTGCTTAAATCACCTTTCTTTCAAATTCTGACATTCAGTTTGGAGTTCAGGAGATTGTCTTGGCCAGGACTACACCCCTAAATGCATTGAAGCAACTGCCGTGTGATTGGTTGATTAGATAATTGCATTAATGAGAAATTGAACAGGTGTTCCTAATAATCCTTTAGGTGAGTGTATATATATACACTGTATGCATAATGTTACAAGATTTGTTTTTGTTTTTGAAAGAAGTTTCTTATACTCACCAAAGCTGCATTCATTTGATCAAAAATACAGTACAGACAATATTTTAAAATATTATTACAATTTATAATAACTGAATTTTCAGCATCATTACTCCAGTCTTCAGTGTCACATGATCCTTCAGAAATCATTCTAATAGGATTTGGTGCTCTAGAAAAATGTCTTCTTATTAATAATGTTAAAAACAGTTGCTTTATTATTTTATATGGTTATCCCTCTTATATGCTGATAATTACACTACGCCATGACTTACTACGCTACTTCCGACGTCACAAGTTGCGGAAGTTGCGCTTTGAACACAAGTAGACTGCGTATGTTCGTTTGGCCGGAAGCTAGAATTTTACTTTGTAACAGGTTTAATAGGGATATTTTTCTTACACAAACGCATCACTTCGGAAGGCCTTTATTAACCCCCCGGAGCCGTGTGGAGCACTTTTATCATGGATGGATGCACTTTTATAGACTTCAAAACAGAAACGGCCATTCACTGTCATAATAAAGCTTGGAAAAACCAGTACATTTTTTAATATAATGATTGTATTCGTCTGAAAGAAGAATGTCATATACACCTAGGATGACTTGAGGGTGAGTAAATCATGGGCTAATTTTCATTTTTGGGTGAACTGTCCCTTTAAGTATCAATATCTCTCATACACTTTCGATATCACTCGGTAGATTACAGTAGAATGTGCTTCACTTATCAGTAAATCAGATGGCTGGTCACTGGAAAAAAGCCTGCGCTCCTGTCTGGCCGAGGCAGGTAAGTCTCCAGGGCTCACCTGTCAGCCTGTCGTGGGAAAGAAGCCTTTATTTCAGAGTCATGGTCGGAGGGGGGTCACTACGGCACACAACAGCCTGTGTGTGTAAGAATGTCGAATCCGGTGCCTCCCCTCCATCTGTGTCTCTCCTGAGCCGCGCGGACAATGTGCTTTGAGTGCAGGAGACGCGCTGCAGCCTGCTTCTCTCAGACGGCCTGGCTCCTCAGGGTCCGGCCCAGGCACAGAGCTGTCTTTGTCAGCCTAATTACCCCGCCTCTCCCCTTCTGCTGCTGCAGGGCCTCCACCAACACTCCCAAACCGAGAGCCTCAGCACACACACTCCATATCACACACACACACCTGTGAGTGTGCTGTTGTCGAGTTATCATGCACACAGAGGGCCAGCGGATCCAGATGTTCCCACATTAACACAGCCTTCACCTCCGGCACCGAAGCAGATGAGCCAGGCCTGGCCTTTCGGACGCGGGGGTGATTTTGATCTGGTGCCCTGGCCCGCAGGAGAGCACAAAGGCCGCTTCAGGAAAGAGATACCTCGGCTATCTGCGCTACCTGTGTACACGCTGCAGATTAACCTTGCGAGTTTAATGAAGCCTGTCTAAAGCGCACTTCAGCCGGGCTTTAAAGCGTTCTGCTGAGAGGAAAATCTCTCTGTTTCTTCACTCCTGGCTGCTCGCCAGCTCGCTGGAGACGAGGAAACCCAATCCCGTTGAAGGTACGGCTTTGTTTGCGGTGACAGACGCAAGAATAGTCTCCGTGACCGTTCCAAGCAAAAACAGCATGGTGAATGTTTATTTGAAGTGACAAGTCAGAAAAGGCACAGAACAGACTCATTCTTAACACGCCATAAACCGAACTCCCAGAATACCTCACAATGCTACACTGCCGCGGTCCCTGAATTAAAAAGACATCTCTGTAATATTTCTCTTGACGTCATGTGTCCATCTTTCTGGCCCCCAGGGTGCAAAAGCCTGCTTCCTGAGAGACATCCCCTTCTCGGCCATCTACTTCCCCTGCTACGCACACATCAAGGCGGCCCTGAGCGACGGAGACGGGCGAGTGGGTCCTGGCAGGCTGTTGCTGGCAGGGGCGCTGGCGGGTAAGCCACCACACACTCTCCGGTAGCCGCCTGCCACCACTGGCTCCATTGTGGTTGGCCGTAATTAGAGTGCTCAGTGATTTAGGCTGTGTTTTGAAGTGCAGCGCGCCTGCCAAGGGTTGGATATTTTCCACTGTTTAATATAAAGGGGCTGGAAGTTTGTGCTTTGAGCTCTGAGAGTGTTAAAAGAGGAACAAAATATCTCAAAGTCCCAAAGTAGCCATTCTGCAGGAGCAATAAACAGATCCTACGATACTGGCATGACCAGGCCAACACATCCAAGATCTGACTTGCAGTATTTTTACAAGTCTCTCTTTCCTTGTCACATGTAAAATACGATCCAGATCTGATGTTGTTTTTAATATTTTACTCTTGTGGTTCATCTTTAAGAAAACATTGTTTAAAAGGCCACGTCTTTAGCCAAGCCAGTATGGTTTGGAATGTAAGTGAAAGAGAATTAATATTTATTTCTAATCCTTTTTGCCGTTTTAGATTTACTGCTTCTTGACGTGAGCGTGATACGAGATTGAAAAGCCATACATGGTCAGAAAGAGCTTAGCATTCCTGTCTTTCCCAATGTTTTATATCTGTCAGATGGTTTAAAGCAACTTTTTATGGCTAGGTATGTTCTTATGGCATGTATCATTCAGTCTACCATTTATCAGCGATTCGAGCTTCAAGGCAATTAGTGATTTACAGTCGGTTCGGGAAATTTAATTACACGCTCAGTTTGTGTGCCATTATTGGTGAGGAAGGCAGACTTCTAGGGCATCGACCAATAAAGTTGGCTTTATCCTCTACTTCTTGTGGAAGTGCATGTATGTATTGCGTTTTTATTTCGATTTTATTTTTTATTTGTCTTACTACGATAAACACTACGATATTTATTTTTTTAATTGATTTCAGTTTTATAGTTTCTGCTTTAGATTTTTGTTATAAATGGCTTAATTAACAGCATTTCATTACATTTCTCAATGCAATCTAGTGTTATTTCTGTCTAGTTGGTAAAGGGTTCACCATATAATAAAAACTAAAGTTAATTTGTTGCCAGTTTTATTTTTTGGTAATGAAAATTATTTGAGTTTAGTTTCCGTAATTCATTTTTATGCTCTTTGTGCTCCAGCGAAGGTTTGTCCATCGAAGCAGGTCAGCAGAGAGAAAGGACTGTAATTATTCAGATGCAAGTATTTTATTTAGAAGCTCTTGAACATGTGTTGGAGTCGGTGTGATGGCGGTGTGGCTGCTCAGACTAAATGCTAACTCTGATTTAGGCTATTAAGAGCTGAATTGGTGCCACAGTGGCCTTTGTGCTGGACAGCGTGGGACAGGGCTTATGCCAGCCTCATTATTAAGCATTGTCTGGACCTGAAAATATAATGCTGAATAAATGGAGCTTTCCGCTTGAGATATTTATAATATTTGATCAAATAGGCTGTCTGTATTTATTTGGTGGAACTAATTCATGGCACGCTGTGCATTAATCATAGACGGAGTCGCAGAGTTTACATACGCTAATGTTTTAATCCTGGCCTGAAAACTGAATTAAATTATATTAATGTGATATACGAGTCAAATGTATTCAAAAACGATTGAAGTTATTACTTTAATTTTCGAATGAATTCAAATCAGATTCTTCATTGACATGTGTGACTTTTCTTTAGGCATGCCTGCCGCATCCCTGGTGACCCCTGCTGATGTTATCAAGACCCGGTTACAAGTGGCTGCCCGTGCAGGTCAGACCACGTACAATGGACTCATTGACTGTTTCTGGAAGATTCTTCAGGAGGAGGGACCTCGTGCCTTCTGGAAAGGAGCTGGAGGTGTATCTCGCCAACTTACCTGAAACTAGTCATGCTAATGTTGTTTTTTTGCTTCAAAGGATTTTTTAGTTGACCTTATAAAGTAAAGGTGCAGTATGTAATATTGAGCGCTTGCGGTTGGAATGGGTATTGCAGTCCACATTTCAAATATTTGAGAGTTGTTTCCCCTGCATCCTCCTCCTCAAACTCGACACTCACGCGGGTTGCCGGATTGAATACACGCAATAGGAACGTGCTTGATAAAGGAAAGCAAAGTTTTAATATGCCTCTCTGGTCATGGAGATTTTTAGATGGATGCCGAGGCTTTTTAGGTCGGGTAGAATCTGCAATCTCTGACCAAGTTCATTTGCTGGCTTCCATGGCTGCAATAAGATGTGTTTTCTGCTGAATGGCAACCCAGTGTGTCGAATACTATTGGCAGTGTTGGGAAAGTTCATTTTCTACATGAACTAGTTCAAAGTTCAGTTCACAAATTTTAAAATGAACTAGTTCAGTTCATAGTTCATACTTCAAAAAATGAACTAGTTCAAAGTTCTTTTTTTCCATATGTTGCTGCGAGCTTTTTTTTTCTTTTTTAAAATTATTACCACAGCCCATTTACAACCACAGACAGCAGTTATTTTATCGACGGGCAAAGTTTGCAACCGAAATGTAAGATTTTTCCCATCCTCACCGACCTTGTCATACAACTCGTTTAAATAATCATACGACGCCTCCTCGCTCGCTGCTTTGTCGAATACATGCTGCTTTTTGTCTTGATGACGCATGCGGCGGCCGCGGTGCGACCGGGTGCGACACTGGTGGTTGGTGTTGCCAGATTGGGTGTTTTTTCGCTACATATTAAGGCCTGTTTACGCGGGTTTTAGCCGGGTTTTCGCCTGGAAGGCTCTATAGAAATCTGGCACCCTATTGAACAAAGTTAAACTGAGAGAGCGTGCGTTCACAGACACCAGAATGAACGCGTTCACCGTAACGTTCATCAGGCAGTAATACAGTACGTTCAGTTCACGTTCGCCCAAAATATGAACGAGTTCATGAACTATCGTTCATTGAACGCGTTCAGGCACAACACTAACTATTGGGTAAATTGGCCCATAGTTCACTCAAAAATGAAAATTCTATCATTAATTACTCACCCTCATGTCAGTCCAAACCAGGGGCGTGGTAGTGGGGGGAAAAGGGGTACCGAGTACCCAGGGTAGTCAAAAAGTCCGTCCACCCGGAACTTTACTCATTGGTTCTCATACATCAAGTGAACATGCTTGAGCTTCTGTTTACCACAACTGATGTGTGAGTTGATGAATCTGTTCATCATATAAAGCTATCAAGTCTCTTCAAAAAATTTGGACTAAACCGCTCAATTCAGATGGATTAGTTTTATCTCTTTATGAACTTTTTGAAGCTTCAGTGGTAGTTGCGTAGCTGTCAATGGAGGAACAGAAATCTCTCAGATTTCATCAAAAAGATCTTAATTTGTGTTCCGAAGATGAACGAAAGTCTTTGGGGTTTGGAGCGACATGAAGGTGAGTAGTTAATGACAGAATTTTCATTTTTGGGTGAACTATCCCTTTAAGAAGACTTTTGCAAATATCAAGCATCGTGTTAGTTCAGGCAGGCCACGTCAGCCAAGTTCGTATCAGCTGATAGCCAGCTGTTCATGACGTGTTCCAATCAGCGTCGACATCTATCACAGCGGCACGGCACATATAAACTCCCATTTCTTCAGCATTTCCTCCATAGCATCGCTGCTCGCATTAAACTCCCTCCTCCAAACCCCAACTCCACCCAACGAACCTTTAATCATTCTGTTTTTTTTGTTTTGTTTTTTCTGTACAGTCATACATTGCAAGCTTTATTAGGGGTTCAAGCACAGAGTTCTGAAATCCTATTGTAATTGTAAGGATTTGTAAAACTGATCGTGCAGACCAAACCGTAAGAGCTAGAGACTTGAAACCTGGCCAGATGGTAGGCCTCAATTTGGGGAGAACCTATCAGAGTATGACCCTGATTGGCCCATAGGTGGCGCTACAGCAACCAAAAGTACTAAATTGCTCATAACTCCTAGACCGTTTGACTTAGACTCAAGGTTTTTACACCACTGTGATCCTTGGCTCAAGAAGGACTAAATGTTTATCTCCAATTTCGATTTAGGTAGCATATTTAATCGATATCGATATTTTCTGCTATGTCGAATTTTGTCCAAAACCTACTTTTGCAAACTAGTCCCTGGTTTTTCGCCCGATCGGAACCAAACCAGTCTAGGGCAGTTCTCTGGACTGTCTAGATCAATAATTATCGAAAAAAGGTTGAACTTTTGCATTTGGGTGGCTGTAACAGGGTCATTTAGAAAAGGGCCGTGACAAAATACACTCAAAAGCCTATAAATCCTAAACGAAAACTCACTAAATTGCCTTATGTGCTTAAAGGCCTTAAATGCTTAAACCCCGCTAAATGCTGCGTGCAGCTTTAATCATGTCTTTGTATTTTTACAACTCATGTAATTGAGTATTTCAATATGCATGCATTTACTGGTTCTGTTCTGTACCCCACGGGGGTTTGACTTGCTGCTCTCCCCGCTCTGTCCAGGCATAGCAGCGTGGACAGGCGTAGGAGTTTTTGCCCAGAACAGAACCATACCGCCAACACTAACTGTATGCTATAATTGCAATACATTTATATACTTGGCAAAGTGGTCCTGACTGAACTGACAATACGGTGAAAAGAGTTAACATTTTGTGTTAATAATTGTGTGTATTAGCACTCCTACATGACCTTCTTCTCGAGCATTTTTAATAAATGTAGAATCTGTTCAGACTGCTTGCTGATGCTTCATATGAATGTCATTTTGTTTGTTTTCCTGCTCAGCACGTGTGTTTCGCTCCTCGCCTCAGTTCGGAGTGACGCTGGTGACCTATGAGCTGCTGCAGAGGTGGTTTTACGTAGACTTCGGTGGACAGTAAGACTCTCACACTTCCTAAAACTTTCAAATGTTATAGTAAGACTTTCTTTAGATTTCTTCCATTAGGAACAAAAGCTCTGGGGCACACAGTGTGAATTTGAAGAGCACTGAAATGTCAGATGCCCTGAAATTTCATTAATAGCTGTTTAAAGAGGGCTGGCTTTGTAGCAAAGACTCTCATTTCGACGGCCACTTTGTTACATCTGAGGCAGGGAGGCCTAATAATTGCTATACAAGAAAGCGTCGAATGCCTGGACTGAAAGCTGTTTGCGGCATCTTTATCTCTCCTGCTGAAGCGAAAACACCCTCGCTTTATGATTTAGAAAGGGTCAGCTGACTCACTGAAACCCTGGAGGTGACATTTCTAGAAATGCTCTTCCATAGCCACATGGCTCCATGTGTCCAAGTGATTTGAGGTGGGGAGAATTGCTTCGACTGGAGTCTGTTCCAGTTCTGGACAGAATGACCTTATTTTCCCATGGAACATTGTGCTGTCCTGAAAGCCAGAAACCACAGGCACATATAAAAGAACATTGTATATATAGACCTATGTGTGGATTTGTTTTTATACCTGTTTATATATTGATTCATGTGGCTCAGTGGGCACTTTATTATGTGTTGTCATATCGAAATGTTTACTGGAGATAAACAGCCTGACTGGATTGTAAAAACAAGAATATTTTCCTCTCAAGTTATGGAACACAAAATAAATGCCTTTTCTCGAAACCTTTCCATTCGGGCTACAGACTGTGTTTTAGGGCAGCGGGAAATCATACAGTCATGTAGCTGAAATATCTGAGGATCTGAAACATTTCTTTGAGTTGACATTATTTTATGTGAAAAGAAAAAGTGAGGATGCGCTAATACTGAAATTCTAGCTGATACTTAATTACTGTTAACTGATGACCAATAGTACTATAAAGGGATGTCCCGATCCGATCACGCGATCGGAAATCGTGCCCGATCACGTGGTTTTCCTTTCCACTGCACACGACATTCGCATACGATTGTCGCATTTCGCCCCCTAGTGTCAGTCGCACGGAACTTTGAAATTGGTCGTGAAGCAACCGTTACCCTCGGCTATTCACAAAAATGAATGATGAATGTAATTCATGCATGAATATATCCACACAAAACAAATGACCCCCAATACATCTAAAATAAAAACAATAGATTTTACAGAGCTAATCAAAATAAATATTGATTTAATAATTATAAAATATTTTTTTTCTGCCATAATTATTAATAACCGACATTTTACAGAAATAGAATTTACAGAATAACATTAAAGAGTTGAAATATTGGTAATTCTAGCCTCACGCTCATAGTTTTGATTAGAATACATCACATCCGGTCGGCCAGTCGCATACGGTCTAGCCGCAGAAGTTCAGATATTTCAACGGATCCAAAGCTCAAATCGGATACGAATTTTCCGCATACGCATATGATCGGAACTCCCCGCAGCTCCCGTACGACTCTCCATTGGAAATGAATGACTTCCGGTCCAACGGCTGTCGTTTGTCGTGTGCAGTGGAAAGGCGGCTTCAGACTCGATCGGAATCGGACGTTACCTCCCGATCAGGACTCGGATATATGTAAATTAGGGGTGTAACGGTACATGTATTCGTAATTATTGAACCGTTTCGGTACGCATACAAACCGAACGATGACGATTCCTAGGACCATTTTTCCTGCAGACAAAATCCGCGCTGGCGCGATCACCACAACGTTGCGCAACATTAAATGGCAAACGTAATGAAAGCGGAACGAATCTTCGCTACTCATTATATTGTGCTTAACGGACCATTTATCAGTTCGGACCAGCAACATCTGTGCAGCGCGAGATCAAGCGACACTGTGCTATGAGATCCAGTGAAGAAAACATTTGAATTCGCCACTGAAGTAATAACATCGCTGCGAGATCTAGTGAGAAGCATTTTTTCTCCGTTATTAACCGTAGATCTCTATTAGATCAAACAACGCTGACGTGGGAACCAGGAGAAACATTGTGAACATGGATTTAATGTTGCACTTCAAAAGTCAAATATTTAAATGTTATTTTTAATGTGATTACCAAAACATTATTTGTTCATCCTTCAAAGATTACCCCCATTTATAAACCTGAAAGTTTCAAGATGTAGAAAAACTCAAACTTATTTAAAGGTTTTTCTTTTAATAAATAGGACATTTCTCTGGCATTTCTTTCTTTTTGCTGTATCGTATCGAACCGCAAATTTTGTGAACTGTTACACCCCTAATGTATATATATATATATATATATATATATATATATATATATATATATATATATGCTCATTATTTTTTTATACACTTTTAAAACATTTTTATTTTTTTGTCTACATGCCTGCCAGGTATTTTAAGTTGAGGTGCTATTTGTTTTTATATTAGACTTTTTCTATATTTACTATTGCACTAAAGTCTAAAAGTGAAGATTTTATGTTATTTATTACTTGATTGTTCAAGCTACCTCGCAGAAGTGCTCTGTTTGTTAACAGAGTTGTTGAATGTTAAAATAAGGTGAATTAAATAAAAAATAAGGAACATCCTGGATCTGTTTTTTCTCTCTTCTTTATTCTTTTTTTTATGTATTATATAAGTTTCGGATCGGGACTCGGTATCGGTAGATACTCAAAATCAAATGACTCGGACTCGGACTCGGACTCGGACTCGAGGGCAAAAAAACCTGATCGGGACATCCCTAACTGTGGAATGCTTTTAAAGAGACAGTGGCCTCCTCACCCTAAAGTTGTTCCAAAAACTGTATGAATTTCTTCTGCTGAACACAAAAGAAGATATTTTGAAGAATGTGGGTAACCAAACAGTTGATTGTCCATTGACTTCCATAGTATGGAAATAAAAATAGGCGGAAACAATTAAATATCCAAAACTGGCTAATATACATTTTATTTTTATTTTTAAGGATGATATTGGCAATAACCAATAAGGTGCTGAGACGTGCATCTCTAGACATGAAACTAGCCCCACCTTACAGTCCTACTACTGTTTAAAAGTTTAGTGTCAGTAAGATGTTTTCATGGTTTTAAAAGAAGGCTGCATTTATTTGATCAAAAAATAGTTTTTGTCAAAGCTGAATTTTCAGCATCATTGCTCCAGTCTTCAGTGTCACATGATCCTTCAGAAATCATTCTAATATGCTGATTGGCTGCTCAAGAAACATTTCTGATTATTATCAATGTTGAAAACAGTTGTGCTTCTTAATGTTTTTATGGAAACCGTGAGACATTTTTTTTTCAGGATTGTTTGATGAATAGAATAGAAAGTTAAAAAGAACAGCGCTAATTTGAAATACTGTATAAAATATTTTGTTACGTTATATACACTACCGTTCAAAAGTTTGGGGTCGGTACGATTTTAAATACTTTTAAAAGAATTCTCTTCTGCTAACCATGGCTGCGCTTATTTGATTAAAAATACAACAAAAATCAGTTATAGTATTAAATATTATTCCAGTGTAAATCAGCTGTTTTCTGTGTGAATATATAGTAAAGTGTAATTTATTCCTGTGATCAAAGCTGAATTTTCAGCATCACCAGTGTCAGTGTCTTCAGTGTCAAATGATCCTTCACAAATCAGTATAATATGAGGATTTGATGCTCAAGAAAGATTTATTATTATTATCAATGTTGAAACAGTTGTTGGTCTGTCAGTTGTACAGTTTTTTTTTTTTAGGATTCTTTGATGAATAGGAAGTTCAAAAGACTTTTGTAACATTATAAATGTCTTTACTGTCACTTTCGATCAAATTAATTATTCCTTGATAAATAAAAGTATTGATTTCTTTCCTCCAAAAAATAAAAATAAAATTCTCACTGACCCCAAACTTTTGAACGGTAGTGTATATATCTTGATTAATGTGTCCTTGTTGAATGAAAGCATTCATTTATTAAAAGGAAAAATCTTGCTAACCTCTAACTTTTGAATGATAGTCAAATATACAGTTATTACAATGACATCATTTGACATAATCTGACCAAGATATGAAGATTTAATCAGAACCAAGTTATGCTAAAATAGAGAATCCGAGAAGAATAGCACATGCATAATACAGAATTAATAAAAAGATGCATTTTTGTTTGTAGATATTCCTTTATCATATGTCTATAAACACATTGACATTTTATTGCTTATGCTGACCGTTAAAATTCAAAAGAATGGTTTTATATTCGCGTCTGGTTTATGTGCTTTAACAGACTGACTGAGCTACTACATGATTATGACTTCATTCAAGCTAAAATGTTAAGACGACATCCTAAAATAGGATTTGTGTCCTAAATGGAATTTTTTTTTTGTTTAAAGGAAACCAAGAAACCAGTTCTGGTCTTTTCATTTATTTTGTGTTCCATAACTTGAGGGGGAAATGTTCTTGTTTTCACTATGCAGCCAGGCTGTTTATTCTTGTTTGACAGGACAGGACAGGACAGAATGTGAAGTCTGCCTTTGCTCCTCCTCCTCATCCATCTTCTCTCTCGCTCTCTCCTCACCACAGAAAACCAGCTGGCGCAGAGCCTACTCCCAAGTCTCGGATCAGCCTCCCGGCGCCCAATCCTGACCACATCGGTGGCTTCAGGTTGGCCGTGGCCACGTTTGCTGGCATCGAGAGTAAATTTGGACTGCATCTACCACGATTCCGAGCGCCTGACGCCCCCCACGCTTGAGGCAAACGCCTGCACTACGGGGTGACGCTACCCTGCACTGGAACAAACACTTATGAATCTCATAAAACCTTCAGCAGATCAACTGGAAAGGATGTTTTATGTGATTATTAATGCATATTACAGCTTTAAAGTATGGGGATGATCTACCAAAGTTCTGGATTCTTCAGTAGGAATGTAAATCATTTTTCATTTGATTCTTTATTTTATTGTATTTTTATTTATTTACCTGAAAAATTACCTTTAACAAACTTCCAAAATGATAAAATGGTTATGACCTTCCCAATCAATTCATGTAACTGATCAGTTAGATTTACTAAAGTTGATCCCCTTTTATTTCATTTATATAATGAACTCAAGGTAGGCCATTAGACGGGACCCCAAATTTGGGCTACCGGTACCATTTTGAGGGATTAAATTTCTTTTTGATTTTCATGAACACATCTCTAGTGTTGGAAAATGTGTGATAGCATCCGATCCATGGTAGCTTTCATTAGAAATCGACACTTATATCATCCTACCTCAAGGTAAGGTGTTCAGTGACTACAAGAGAGAAAATGTTATCCTTTTATAATTTTACAAATTTATTTAAAAAAAATATATATTTTTTTATTATAAAATTTTTAATTTTTTTATTATAATTTTTTTATTAAATTTTAAATTTATTTAAAGATAAATTCATTTATCCTTTTTCTTGACATGTTTGAATATCGTCCTCCGTAACCAAAAACTACCTTGAATCTAATGCTATCACACATTTTTCAAATACAGGGTCATACCTACACAAAAATCACCATGCAGTTTAATCCCTCAAAATGGTACCAATAAACCCTCTGTCTCACGGCCTAAGGCACTTGATGCATATTGCAGCGTTTTGACAGTACAAGCATATCCAGTAGAAACTAAACAAAGATTATTTTTTTTAAATGATAGATGTGTAACTGTTTACATTTTCTTTTCTCCTTTTACCATAAAACTATGTAATCACATACTACTCGCATTCATTTCATTACTGATGTGGACACACACATTTGAATGTATTATAGTATTCCATATTTATTTATGATTCGTGTTTTGGGGATATACAAGCAATGTTGATTTATAGTCCGGAGACTCCAGGTTTACAGATAATGTACTGTATGTTAGTACTGTATTTCTTGTAGTACCCCTTGAAAATTGAAGTGAAGACATTATATTGAGCTGTACAGTAGAGCTGATTGTACATATAGTGTGTATAAGATTGTGCCTTAGGCTACTATAAGTATGGCAGCAATAGATGCACTGATTGAAATCCATATTTATTAAAAGATCAAAACAAAACTGGTTTAGCATGTTTTATTTGTCAGTACTCATTGTATTTAGCCACACACTTCTCACTTATGGTTTTCAATAACATAATTTCTAAAATGTGAAGTCTTTTAGCAAGCACACAATACCTGTTTGCATTGCTATAACACTGATGAGAAGCCACTATTGATGACAGTTAAACTTACAAGACTTTATTTGTCAATACTTCATGCAGGGAGCTCAGTACAAAAATATACACACACTGTTCAAGTATACTAAAAAATAACCACCAACCAACGTCGAAAATGCCCTCCTAGCAGCAGGTTATTTCAAATTCACATTTTCAAACATGTTATGGACTGCTTTAGCAGTAAATGCTATCAAGGTAATGAGACGAAACATTAAAAAAAATACAATGAACTCTTACACAACAAAAACTGCACACAAGCTCACAGAAATAAAAACTATTTTACCATAAGCAACAATATTAAAGGGATCGTTCACCTAAATATGAAAACTGTCATTCCACACCTGTGTGACATCGTTGTGCACTGCAGAATAAGCAGCTCTTTTCCATAATACAACTGTGGTTCATTATTCACTTTCATTATTAATAATATTTTGGAATGAACTATGGAATGACGCAGTAAACGAAATGGCGATTTGCAAGCTCGATTCAATTTTAATCCTTTTTGCTACCCATACGGGCATATTTCAGGTCAAATCCAGCGGTAGAGGAGTGGCAATGCTGAAAAGCGGTTTGAGAAACTTGATACTAGGAACCTTCTAACTTCATAAATTACGCATTACGCAAAATAGAAGTTAAAAAAATTAACAAAAAACTGTGTTGACTGAGAAAATAGACAAGAGTAAAAGATTGATCTTGGTATTTTAAGATTTACCAGAAAATAATTAGAAAACCTATATTTTTATGCTACCCCCCCCCCCTCCACCCAAACCAAACCCAATTAAAGGGATAGTTCACCCAATGTGTCTTTCTTCTGTTGAACATAAAATATATTTTAAAGAATGTTGGTAACCAGACAGTTGACAAAAGCCATTGACTTCCATAGTAGAAAAAAAATACTATAGAGGTCAATGACTACCATAAACTGTCTGGTTACCAACATTCTTTAAAATATCCTCTTTTGTGTTCAGAAGAAAGAAACATACAGATTTGGAACAACATGAGGGTGAGTAAATGATGACAGAATTGTCATTTTTGGGTGAACTATCCCTTTAAGAACAATCCCCGCCCCGCAGCCGATTCTAATTTCATGTTAATCACAGTCCACATTGCCTACACAGCATTGAAACAAATACTAACCCTTAAAGTCACAATGAAATCAAATTGACTTATTTTTATGGAATATTGGAGGATTTATTATAAATGATTTACCTGTGTACATCTTTTTTTTATTAATTCACGTGCCCTCGTAATCTTTAATTGAAATACCTTTAATAAGCCACATTTTCTTTCTTCTCTGAAGACGTTTTCTGGCACGAGGGGGGGAGAACATGTCACTCGCGTGAGATCACAGCAATAGCAAACCATCCAATCAAGGACAAAAACAGGTCCCGCCCTACATCATTTCTTGTTTGAGAAGCCATTTCAGAAGAAGACTATCACAACTCCTGTTTCATGCTGACTTTAACCCTAACCTCACTCTAGCATTGGTAGCATCCTGATAGATAGCATTACCGTTCAGCTTTTTTACAGTTGCGATCAGATCCACCGATTATATTTTTTTAACTACTGAATGATTGAAGTTTGATCTTTTTCTTGAGCAATGAGCTGCGAGGTAGGGTATGCAGTATTGTTACCCAACCCTAGTAAACAATGCAACATTTTTCATTATTTGGGTAAACGGTCCCTTCGGAGAAACAGTAAACAGCACAGTACTAGTGGACATGCTAATTGTGTGTTACATCAGGCTCAGTCTGGGTTTGTGATGGCGCTGATCCCGTGTTTACGTGGTCAGTTCCCCAGGCCCCTCCTCCTCACCATCCCCACGGTTGGCACGGATCTCCATCAGTGTGTGTCCGAAGTGGGTCCAGTCCTCACTGTGGGGCACGGCCAGCTGCAACAGATGAGCGTTTGAGAAATCCAGTGCCAAAAACACCCCCCACATCTCCAAAACGCCACATCAAGAGCAAAGCTACGCATTACATGTGCTGTCACAGTGTGGGAGAGGAAAGAGATCACCACACATTGTGATTCAGAGACAGAACAATAAAGCTGCTTGTTTGGCCTTTGAGTGCTGAATATTTATCGTGTCAGTTCTCAGGAAGGGGAAGATGGGGACTTTGGGCCGGCTGGGTGACGATGTGGGATCGCTTTCTGCTGTCAGAGTCAGATTTAGACGAGAAAGGAAGGCTGCCTGCCGCCCATGCTTAGACAGAGAGAGAGAGAGAGAGAGAGATCTACAGGGTTTAATTAAACAGGAATAGAGAGGTGGGAGGAGATGACAGCCACTTCCAAACCAAAGGCCAAATCAAGCTCTTTTATAGTACAGCAGGTGGTCTTAAGAAGCCTTCATCAATAAATGACCTTATAGCACTGGGATTTCATCACTGTATATATACATACAGTATACATACCGGTACATACATAATATAAATATATATGTTTTCATGGACATTTTGCGAACTGAAATAACCTTGACTTGTCAAAAAAAATCTAATATTTTACTGAGGTTAACACTTGACACCATTATGGCCTGATGGGTCCCTTTCTATGAGATCATTATAATCTTTCTATTAAAAGTCAAATTTAAAAAAAATCTAATATACAAAAAATAGAAATCTGCAGGTTGGTTGGAGCACATGATTTTGATTTTGCAGACAAAAGTTATTCGAATATTAATAAGTGAAGCAGTTATTTTAAAATATTTTTTTTCGGTAACACTTTACACTAAGGTTTCATTTGGTAACAACATTAGTTAACTGTAGTAGTTAACATGAACGAACACTAAACAATACTTCTACAGGATTTATTAATATTAGTTAATGTTAATCTCAACATTTACTAATAAATTGTTATTAGTTGTGAACCAACATGAAAATCAAAATTTGTATGAACTAACATTAACACAGGTTAATAAATGCTGTAACACATAAAATATATTGTGCATTGTTAGTTAGTCAATGCATTAACTAATGTTATAATAATAAATTATGTTAAACAACTTTAAAGAGATGTCAAATTGGGCTTGTTTCTTAAAAAAAAAAAAACGAATTTTAAATCCTAAAACTAATTCATTCTGGTTGGAAAAGAGTAAATCACTGTATCTATGAACTGCAGTAACAGGGTCAGGTCTGAAACATAACCTACGCAAAAAAATATGAATGCAAAGTAACACCCTGAAACACTGAACAGAATTCATAACGCGACTCTCTTTGCTTTGCCACAAGAGGCACTATAACAGATAGTCAGATGAACTGTCTTCTTCTATGGTCTGCTAGAACTACAGCAAAGCGAGATATTTCTTGCTTTAAAACCCCTGTGTTACAGGGGGCGACCCGCGGTTGAAGAACAAAACCTTTTTAACTTTAAAATGACATCTGAACTTTACGCAATGTGCGAAGGAGTTCCACTCTGCTGAAGGAGCCCATGTCGAGGGCTTTTGGTAAATAAGCCCCCGTTCCCCCGAAACCCTTCAACTTTCCTTCACTTCATTTTATTGATGACCCACCATTATCATCAGCCCAAAGAGCCCACATGCTCGACCGACGCACTCTCCAATTACCACAATACACTGCGCTAAGATTAGCACTGCCCCACACATGAAGAGAGGCGAAACCCGGAGCCCGAAAACAACATGGTGAACATGGGAGTCCTCGTGGTTTTGCTGCTCTGTGGCAGAGACTCATTCATGTGGAGACGGCCTTAAAATAAAAGATTCAAACAAAAACGAGACCAAACTCTGAGAGATTCAACTTCACTTTCATTCCGCATCCATGTTCGTGAAGCTCCTGTTCAGGCTTGGAAAGAACCTGAGAGAATAATAATAACAGTAATCTCACACATCACGCTTCTTAATTACTGACAAAAGATTCATACCTCTCCAACGTCGTATATCCACACGCGGCCCTCGGAGTCTCCCACTGCGACCTCTTTGCCCCCTGCGGCCCAGCGCACGCGGTTCAGAGCGGGGGAGCCCTCGATGGTCACGCTGGCACTGGGAACCTGCACTCCAAACACACCTCCAATCAAATACCAAACACACAGTGTGTGAATGATGCTCTCTCACAGCTCTTAGGTTTAACGTACCACTCAAAAGTTTGATTTTAAAAGTCTCTCTTATTTATTTGACATAAAAATATTGTGAAATATTATTACAATTTAAATTTTAATGTATTTTGAAATGTAATTTATTCCTGTGATCAAAGCTGGATTTTCAGCATCATTACTCCAGTCTCTTCAGTGTCACATGATCCTTTCAGAAATCATTCTAATATGATGATTCGCTGCTCAAGAAACATTTCTGACTATTATCAATGTTGAAAACAGTTGTGCTGCTTATATTAATATTTTTGTGGAAACTGTGAGACATTTGTTTTTTTTCAAGAGTCTTTAAAGAATAGAAAGTTATAAAAAGAACAGCATTTATGTGAAATATTTTATTACATTATTATAAATCCCCTCACTGTCACTTTTGATCGATTTAATGCTTCCTTGCGGAATCAAAGTAATAATTTCTTTAAAAAACAAAACAAAAACAAAACGTACGGACCCCAAACGTTTAAACGGTATTTTGTTTCATTGCCAAATTGATCAATTTTGAATCATATTTGGAGATCTGAAAACTTGACGGGTGTAATTTTGCAATTGTATAATGTAAATATTTACAGCTAACTGCCTAAAAATGCAGGAAAACAAAACATAACATGATCTTTTTAAAAATATCACATATCTAAAAAATTAATTTACAAAATTCTAACTCTATGTTTCTCCAAAATATTAATAAAAATGACACTTATTGTATAGCCCCTGATGTGCTCGCCTTTAAAAACCCAAAAATATCAACCTGTTATTCTTGTAGAAAAATTTGACATCCACTAATTTTCAAATTCAAGGAAGAATATAGATAAATACAATAAATTATAACAAGAGGAATCTGAGTATTATAAAATTGTCGAATTTCCCTTCGGAAAACGTGCCTTCAGTTTGTGCATGAACTCTTATTGGATATTATAACTCATAAAACATCAAATGATGTTGTTTGGATGTCTAGTCGAAGCTGAGCTCTAATAGGAAGAAGAGATGAATCCGCTGCTCCACTGGAAAGAGCTATGAGCGCTTTTAATGATTTCATAAATCATCATGAATAGTCGCGCTGCACACATTAAAGCGATACACAGGCTCTGTTTGTGCGCGTGTGTGAGGTTGATTTCTGCCTATTACTTATGACAGTTAAGACTGGCCTGACACATGTTGTCAGCAAAGATGGAAGCTGTACGCTGGCTAATACAAAAGCTTCCTCGCTTCAGAACAGGCTAACCACAGCCTGAGAGCTATTAGCGAGCAGCTTCCTCCAAGAGTCAACTGCAAGGTTCAATTGGCTGCAAGCTTCTCTCCGCGTAAATTGGAACCAGGCGAGCCCGCAGTCTGTTAATGGTGTTATGGGTGAATTTCTTTATAAGTTGACAATGGAGAACTGTTGGCTGCTTTCTGGCACAAGATCTTTGGCTGTTTACGCATGTGTCGTGTGTGCGTCAGCACTGGGGGCTCCTGGTGTTTTGGATAGCATGCATTGTTCTTGAGGCAACACACACTCTTTCATTATCTCTTCTCAACAGACCAAACAAGCTGTTGATGCTGGAATATGCTAAAGGACAGAGAAGGGGCACAAGTTACATAGGTCAGGGTCAAAGGTTACTGATATGACACGAAAGGCCAAATTTACTGCTATACATGAAAGACATACTTTCAAAACTAATAGAACCATTACCATGTTTTTTTTTGTTTTTTGTTTTTAGAAATGGCACCACAGTGGACATAATTATTTTGTAAATACCTTAGAGTACCATGTAAATACCACATTACATAAATAAATAAGAATGGACAATATACGCCCCCTGAAACCTCCACAGCTTACAAGAAGTTAAATACATTAAAATATAATACTGGATTTTTGTGCGAGTTACAATCTGGTGGTCTCAAGGTAATGAAACTTTCCCTAAACAATTTAGTATTTTTGTCTTGATTTCCAGTACCAATACTTATATCTTATTATATCGTTTTACTGGAGGGAAAACAAATCTAAATTTGTTTGTGTTTAAAACAAGAAATAATGCATGTTAGTGGGGTCAGAAAAATACTTAATTCAAAGGGAAAACTAGATAATTTTTCTGACCCCACTGACCTTTAAAAAAAAAAAAGTTTTATGCACAAACTCACTTTAATTATTATTCTTTTCTTCAGAAAACAAGATTTTATCGCATGCAATTTTTTTTTCTAAAGTAAATGTATCTTGACTTAAGAATGTTTAGATATTGGTACTGGAAATCAAGACAAACATATGAGTAAGAAAATAATTGTTTCACCTTAAAGCTTTATAGAACTTTTCCATTTTATTGATTTTGTTTTAATTACTTTTGTTGTTATTCATTTGAATTCTTATCAACTTTTATTAATTAAACAGCTTGTAAACATACTTTATGACTAGAAAAAAATTAAATAACCGATTAAACATGATGGTATTATGCAGTCATTTTTCCTTTCATATAACCTTTTTGGCTCTTTAAAATTGAGTCACGAACTCTCGAGTTCTGTGTAGAATCCCATTGAACCTTTTTTTCCAAGAGTGTATATTGTTAGCATGTCGAATATCAGCCAACATTACAGCAAAGCAGGGGAAATATCAAATATTGGCTGATATATATATATATATAATATTGACCAATATTTGATATTGCATTTACACTAATCCTGCTGACATCTAAAGTTAAGCTTTAAAAACACTATTCATTTATTAACACTGTCAAACGTAATCATTAGCAAAATAAATATTTTTAATACATTCATTATAATATTGTGAATTTTATAATTTAGGGTTTTAATATTGGTTATTGGCCAGAACGTTCAAAATCAACATGAAATGGTGTTTGGAACCCATTTTACATTTGTATTTGACTATTTTACTGGAGTTAAACAGGATATTGAAAATAAAAATATATAGGATGGGATTGATTTTATATGATAAGATGCGACAGGAACATAAAAGTTGGTTTCTATATGACAGCTGGTTAGAAAAACAAGAGACCTTGGTTAAAAAAGAAGGCAATTTTGTCAAATAAAAGATAATTGACAAGCATTATTTTCCAAGCATCATTCAGGGTCAGTTCTGATTTCAAGTTGACTTTACTATATATGATTTACAATCAGTGAGCTAGTTGTTGGTTACCTTCCACCAAACACACATGCAGAGAGAGAGAGAGAGATGGGTGAGTGGAGAATCTGAGAGCAGTGTGTAATTAAAGTAGGTGTGTATTCCTCAGTGGACAGGCAGTGTCAGTCAGAACAGATCTCATTTGACACAGGACAGATGTAACACTTCTGAGCCGTGGCCTCAGGGGCCGGCGTGTCCAACATTACGGACTGACGTATTGTGTGAACGCTCCATGTACTGTAGCAGTAAGTCAACTGTCACATAAAACAACATCATAACATGTGATGTACAATGACACTCCATTATCAGTGATAAACGCTGCTGGATCCAGTATATGACAGCTAATATGACCTCATCATTCTGCATTCTTTCATTTCTGGATCGTTTTTGCCTTGTTTTCAGAAAAACGTCTGATATATACATCACACCCACTTAAGATAATAAGACTCATTTTCTGTGTTTTATAAACATTTTTTGTACTTGTAGAATTATTCTTATTTTTTGAACATTTTATTCATTTTTTAAATAATGTTTATTTTTTTAATTCAAAGGCAATTTTTTGTTTACAGAGAATATATCTTGAATATTTAATTATTTTTATGTATTTTGTAATAAAACATTTTTTTTTTCATATATTTATATTGTATTAGTTAATTTTCATATAATCAAATTAATTGCATATTAAAGTATAAAGCTAACAAAATTAAGCTTATATTTGGAACAAGATTAAAAGAAATTCCAGTGGAGTAAAATATTAATACATTTGTATATATATAATATTTATATATATATATATATATAATATTAATAAAATGAACCATATGTGGTATATATATATATATATATATATATCATATATACTATGTCTTTAATATATTTCTATAATTCATAATTATTATATAAATATTCTGCCAGGAACATCATATTTAGGGATTCCCATCATGGGATCATTTTATGGATTTAGTCTTAATTAATTCATTTTGCTTTAATTAAATTAAAAAAATTTAATTACATGTTATGAATTAAGCAGTTTGTAAAAATACTTTATCACTACAAAGAATTGAAATAACCTGTTAAGCATGAAAGTATTATGCAATTATTTAAGATATGTCTCCTTATCTAGAGCCTTTTTGGCATAAAGTGTCCTTTAAAACCCTAGTTTTATAAAGAATCCAAAACACAATTTTTCTTCCCAAGTAAATGTGTCTTGTTTTAGGAACATTTAGAAAAATATTGAAAAATATAAGTGCTTGTCTGTGACATGGCACAGGCACTGAAGGTCTCGAGAGACGGTGGCCCTAGAGGACCAGGTTAAACCGCTTGGCTGGGCCGTTGCCCATGGGAACTCAATGACTCTGGAATGGTGGAGAGAGAGGAATCCGCACACATCGGAGTAATTAGCCTTCAGCTTGCAGACTGTGTGTGTGTGTGTGTGTGCGTGTGGAAAGGAACGTCGCTGGATTGTTGTGCGAGCTGTCGGTGAAGAGCTGTCAGAAAGCTGATTTAAAGGCGGCCTGTGGGGAGACGCCCATACAGAAAGGAACTTGTTGTTGTTTTGATGCATCTTTTGGCCTGGCGTGATCTGGGGGACCAGACCGAGAGCGTTACCTCACCTCAGTGTCGTTGTTCAAGTTCCACAGATCCAGACGACCCATGCCGTCCACGGCGGCGAAGAGCGAGGGGTGCACGGGTGACCACATCACATCGTAGACATAGTCTGCATTATCCTCAAACGAGTACAGCGGCTTGTTTTGCTGAGGGGGAAAACAACATGAGAAAAAAGAGGTGAAATAAACAGAGGGCAAACAGGACAAGCAAGAAGGTGGTGGGCTTGTAAGGGAACAGGAAGAGGGCGAGAGAGAGGCAGATTGAGAGAATGAGAGAGTGGCATAGGCAGTAGACAGAGTGGCGCTGCTGCAGCCCTGGGGCCTGTCTGGGATTGGGCTAATTAAAACCTTTGCACATTCAAGCAGTGTCATAAAAAAACACTAGATGAAAGTCTCTCCAAGGTGTACTGTAACCTAAGTGTAACAGCTGTCTGTGGCATAGAAGAAAAGAGAATAAAGGAGAGAGAGAGAGAGAGAGAGGTGCATTCCGAACAGGTACGAGGGAGACAGCTGGGCGGACCACAGCACGATAATGAACCTCAGAGAGACACGCTGAAGAATGTGACCTGATTCCAACACACCAGGCAGTGTGCACACTTCATCTTTCAAAATAAACACAATCTGCCATGGTAAAGCCATTAAAAGTGTGGGAAATGATGAAAATTATGAAACACATACACAAAACATTCAATATGAATGAATGACTAAACAAAACTTTTTTTTATAGGCACTAGCATTCAAAAGTTTGGGGTCAGTAGTTTTTTTTTTTTTTGAAGCGCCGAAAAGCGCCGGAAGTGATATCTCGTGCGTGTACGTCACTCATTGTTTACACAGAACAGAGATTGTAGGTAAGACGGCTAATTAAAATGGTACTAATTTGCGCTTATCCGGGATGTTAAAACCGTCGTAAAAGAAACAATTAAAAAAATAAAAAATAAAACAATTGTATGAGTGATGTACACGCGCAAGAGATCACTTCCGGCGCTTGCCGGAAAAGACCGAAGCGCCGGCGCCCTCAGATCACTTGGACGTGGCTGTGTTTACACGAGGTAAAAACGATATAAATACTGTTCGTTTTCTCACACAAACCGCTCGTTTCGTGTCTTAGGCCATCAATGTGTACTTACATTTACGAGTCTCTTTGAGGAAGTGACCATAGACCTGCATTATATGACTAACAGACAAGAACGGTTTGACCTAAAAATAACAAAATTGAAACTACTGCGGACACAAAGACACCTACATCTTGGATGCCCTTGAGGTAAGCTAAAACATACCAAAAATTAATTCCAAAGTGAACTATCCCTTTAAGACATTTATAATCGAAAGTTTTCTTTTTCAAATAAACGCTGTTTATTTTCCATTCATCAAAGAATCCTGGAAATAGTAAGCTGTTTGATAAGATATTGATAAGATTATGATGTTTCTTGAGCTGCAAATCAGCATATTAGAATGATTTCTGAAGGATCATGTGATTTACTTTGATCAAATAAATGCAGCATTGGTGAACATAAAAGACTTAAAAAAAAAAAAAACTTTTGATCGTTAGTGTAAATGAACACCAAGAGTACAGCAGCCGTAAAACGACACTTAAATGTTCTTTTTCTGAAGTAGGCCTATATATTTTTATTAAATATTGACAGAACACAATTTGAGTGAAAACAAGCCCTTCTTCAAAACGGTAACTGAAAAATGCTGATTTAATCGCATTTGAGAGCTCGAGGCAGAAAACTTTTAGCAATGCATGCCGACAAAAACATAGATAGCATATTTCATTTGATGCACATAAAACTAATGCTGTGAGGAAACCCATGAAATATCCCGTATGAAATTAATGGTGGTTTCAATTTCACATTGAGTATGTCATTTGCCGCTATGGTAATTTTGTTATTTACTTATGTTATGATCAAACCAGTAGAGGTCCAATTAGAAGTTTAAACTACGCTCAACAGTCGATCTGATCCACAGGATCCACGGCCACAAATCCAAATCCTGAAGGCGCCAGTGCTGATTCTGCGCTCCCCGAGGACCACAGATCAGTTTGCAGAGCATTCTTTTCCCTCTAACAGAGCGTGATGTGCGCACTCCTCAGCCTCTCATTCATTCGATAACCTCTCTGATGCCTCTGTAGAGATCTAGTGATGGGATTTAGTATCAGTACTCACTGTAAATGGTACTTATTCGTGTCACCACCATCACAGACCTGGATGAGGGCCGCCATGCAGACCGAAAAGTCATCAAGGACTCGCCACGGGCACTTAAGGACACATTAGGGCACAAGGAGGGTTTTCCGAGCAGTCTTTGGCGGGAAACCATACCAATGGTTTTTCCTTAAACACTATTAGAAGAAAAGGTTCTATACCTTAAAAGGTTGCTTTGGTGAATAGAACATTTTAAGGGTTCCAATCATGAGATCATTTTATGGATTTAGTTTAAAAGCAGAGTCTGTTCTTTCTTTTGATACTGTATATTGAATGCTCAGATATTCATAAAACTAAATATTCTGGGGGTCATGAACATTTTGTGAAAATTATCAAAAATGCTACGTGTCTTGGAACTTTAAAAAAAACGTTAATAAATACAAATTAAATATTACATTTTTATAACGACAAATACTAAGTCGTCAATGTCTAAAAATAGGAAGCCATGTGTCATTTGAAATTGGCATTATTGCATGTGACTGATGTGTGTGTGGATCCAAGCTAAGGTGTGCTCACAACCACACACACACTGGAGAAAGAGACAGGCCTGCATTCCTGCGGCTCTCCTCAAAGGGGATGGAATTCCCCCGTCCCCAAAAAATAACACATGCACATCCATAACATCCCAGGAATGTTTTAATATCTGTCAGAATGCACAAAGTGTGAGATTTGTAGAGAAAATGCATGGAGCACAAGTAAAAGAGACAGGACGGTATGTTGTGGTTTGGGGAAGCTCAGCACTTTACGTACGCTTGTGCACAAAGATAGCGACGACGAGTGTGAGAACATGATACATACACTGTAGCTCTCATTCATGAAGCTCAGCTGTATTAAGCGTCGCAGGGCCTGAGGCAGTAGATGTGCCACTTTCCCTGTTAAATGACCCGTGTCCTCCATCTACTTCAGTTTATTTGGCCTTTTCTGCTTTTTAACTCCTTGTTAACTCGTTTTAAAGGGACAGTTCTCACAAAATGTACACTGTGTTCGTGGTCGGTAAGGTTTTTAAATGTTTTTTTTGTGTTTATTTGATCGAAAATACAGTAAAACAATTTCCATTTTAATATATTTTAAAATGTAATTTTTTCCTGAATTTTCAGCATCATTACTCCAGTCTTCAGTGTCACATGATCCATCAGAAATCATTCTAATATGCTGATTTGCTGCTTAAGAAACATTTCTGAATATTCCCAATGTTGAAAACAGTTTAATATTTTTGTGGAAACCAAGATGTATTTTCAGGATTCTTTGATGAACAAAGTTCAAGAGAACAGCGTTTATTTGAACGAGAAATCTTTTGTAACATTGTAAATGCTTTTACTGCAAATTCTGTCATCATTTACACATCATACTGTTGTCCTAAACCTGTAAATTATTTCATGTTTGGTCTGTTTCTCACACACATCTGTATTATGATGTTGAAATACTTTAAATACACTCACCGGCCACTTTATTAGGTACACCTGTCCAACTGCTCGTTAACACTTAATTTCTAAGCAGCCAATCACATGGCGGCAACTCAGTGCATTTAGGCATGTAGACATGGTCAAGACAATCTCCTGCAGTTCAAACCGAGCATCAGTATGGGGAAGAAAGGTGATTTAAGTGACTTTGAACGTGGCATGATTGTTGGTGCCAGAAGGGCTGGTCTGAGTATTTCAGAAACTGCTAATCTACTGGGATTTTCACGCACAACCATCTCTAGGGTTTACAAAGAATGGTCCGAAAAAGAAAAAACATCCAGTGAGCGGCAGTTCTGTGGGCGGAAATGCCTTGTTGATGCCAGAGGTCAGAGGAGAATGGCCAGACTGGTTCGAGCTGATAGAAGGGCAACAGTGACTGAAATAACCACTCGTTACAACCGAGGTATGCAGCAAAGCATTTGTGAAGCCACAACACGCACAACCTTGAGGCGGATGGGCTACAACAGCAGAAGACTCCACCGGGTACCACTCATCTCCACTACAAATAGGAAAAAGAGGCTACAATTTGCAAGAGCTCACCAAAATTGAACAGTTGAAGACTGGAAAAATGTTGCCTGGTCTGATGAGTCTCGATTTCTGTTGAGACATTCAGATGTTAGAGTCAGAATTTGGCGTAAACAGAATGAGAACATGGAACCATCATGCCTTGTTACCACTGTGCAGGCTGGTGGTGGTGGTGTAATGGTGTGGGGGATGTTTTCCTGGCACACTTTAGGCCCCTTAGTGCCAATTGGGCATCGTTTAAATGCCACGGCCTACCTGAGCATTGTTTCTGACCATGTCCATCCCTTTATGGCCACCATGTACCCATCCTCTGATGGCTACTTCCACCATGTCACAAAGCTCTAATCATTTCAAATTGGTTTCTTGAACATGACAATGAGTTCACTGTACTAAAATGGCCTCCACAGTCACCAGATCTCAACCCAATAGAGCATCTTTGGGATGTGGTGGAACGGGAGATTCGCATCATGGATGTGCAGCCGACAAATCTGCGGCAACTGTGTGATGCCATCATGTCAATATGGACCAAACTCCCTGAGGAATGCTTCCAGCACCTTGTTGAATCTATGCCACGAAGAATTGAGGCAGTTCTGAAGGCAAAAGGGGGTCCAACCCGTTACTAGCATGGGGTACCTAATAAAGTGGCCGGTGAGTGTATAACAAACAAGACATTCAGAGCACTTTTATAGCTCTTTTTAAAGCTCGAAAGTTTCAGTCCCTATTATTGTAATTGCATTGGAAAAGAGCAACCAGAAAATTTCTTTACATTTCACAATTTGTGTTCCACACAGAACTGAAAGGACAAACTATTCCTTTAACTACTACTTATACTTTCAATTCCTACCAGGGTTGTGTCATTGACATCTCTTCGTCAAGCTAATCCACTTTTCCATAGCTTTTTTTTCTTGTTATTATTTGTGTCCCCCCCCCCCCCAACATTCCTTCTACGTCCATCTTTTATTCATACTTGGCCTCCATGCTTCCCTCACTCTGTGGTTAATGTGATCTGAGCCAGTATCTCCAGACACAGATTGCAGTATCTGTGAGCACAACCATGTCCATACGTCTCCCACCCTAGCCCGCTCTTGCTCAATCTCTTTTGGTCCATGTGGTTTGAACACCAATCAAGAGACTCAATCATTCATTTCTGAACTTGCAGATTAAGCTCCAAGGCAAAAAGCCACTGTCCAGTGGTCTCGAAGCTTTGGACACAGAACGGATTTACTTGCATGTACGAGACACTGCCAAGATACTGTCCTCATGAACAAAGCAGGGCTTAAAATGCCCTTTATAAAAGCCTGCATTAATGTTGAATTAGCCTGGTTAGTACATTAAATATTAGGGTTTCATAAACAAAAAATGCATTTAATAAATAAATATGGTCACACTTTAGATTAGGGTCCAATTCTCAGTATCAACTAACTATTAACTATGACTTTTGCCTCAATAAACTCCTAATTACCGCTTATTAATAGTTAGTAAGGTAGTTCAGTTTAGGTATTGGGAAGCATTAAGGGATGTAGAATATGGTCATGCAGAATAAGGCATTAATATGTGCTTCATAAGTCCTAATAAACAACCAATATCCTATTAATATGCATGCTAATAAGCAATGAGGTGAGGATTGGACCCTAAACTAAAGTATTACCAAAAAAATATTATGTGAAAAAACCCTATTATCTTACATAATTTTGCTTTTTTAAGTAAATTTAGATTTGAGATATTTGTTAAAACAACACAACAATATGGATTAAGAAAATGATAACTATCTGACGAGGCAATAACAATATTAATTTTAATAAGCATACAAAAACCTCAAACAAAAATGTTTGCTGCTGTTAGAATGGCAAGGTTTAAATATTTGTGTGTTTAAATATTATAATATCAGTGAATTAACAGAAGTGCTACACAATTTTAGTCCCTTGAATGAATTCATTAATGATACACTGGTAAATGTTTGAATGGTGACTCATTACAGTCCATGAGCCGGCAATGTGTCTCATTAAAATGGATGGTTAGTCATGCATCATTTGTTTATAATATCTTGCAGTGTGGTGTCAACAGAGTGAGGTGCTCTGATGATGCTCAAGAGGTGTAGAGGATACTCAGTCTTACCTTTGTGCTCCACAATTTGACAGTCCAGTCGAAAGAAGAGGTGACAAAGAGGTGTGAGAAATCAGCAGGGCCCACAGCACTGTGACAACTGATGCCTGTCACTGGCCCCTGATGGCCCTCAAACATCTCACATATACCAGCTTTACTGTGGAGCAACACAAAGCGATGATCAAAAACAAATAGAAGTAACCATTAAGGCCCTCTACACACCTGATGTAAGTCTAGCAGGGGTTAAAGTGAAAAAAATTCACAAAATTTTTTTTTTTAGATGAACATCTTCAATGGCACCATTTATTTATTACAGCTGTATCTTAATGCCGTCTTTTTATGAATGAAAGCCAGGATCACTCATATTATATCTACTGATGTCTCGATGAAAATAATTTCCCCCAAATTTTAAACATTATAGGCTTCAAAAAATATAAAAACCTTTAATTTAAGTGAACTTAAAACAATCCTAACTTAAACCTATAATAAATGTAATTTACCTGTACCATACAGAAATTGAATAAGGTTATAAAACAGTCCGCACTGCATAAATTAATGAAATATAGATTAATCCTTATCAAAGCTACAAGCGTTCTTTAGTCGAGGGCAGTTAGTAATTTTCTCTGTCTCTCTGTTCTTTAGGTTAACTTTACTGACAGACAGAATTAATGGCTCCTGTCACTTTAAGATCTACAGCTGCTGACAGGATTTTACGCATCTCATTCTCTCACTACTATTTACTTCCATTTAAGATTGTTTTTAACTCATTTAAGACTGTTCTTGTGAGGATACTCGACAAAACTGACATTTTGGCATAAATGTGTGTGTTATTGTTCGTTCAAGCGCGAAAGAGAACTCGATACTGGCGCGCGTCTCTCTGTGCGTCTCGTGTGCGCGCGCGTGTCAGGAGGACATTCACTGAAAGCGCGTTCTCTTTTGTCTTGTACGTCGCGCATAAGTGGTTTAAAGCATTTGCGTGAATAAGAACAAGATCATAACCCTAGCTAAAGGATGACAGAAAGAACGGATGCTGCGTTAATTGCTTAAATATTTTAACACGTTAGCTGGACAAAAATGAATCGCATGCGAAAAGAATAATTTTTTCCTCACGGCCGCACGGTGCCGGTGTGGTGCCGAATTCTGACCCCCGCCAAATTATTACCCCCCTAGTATTGTAGGTTTAGGATAAATTTTGGGGGAGGGGTTAGGATTAGGCAATCAGGTACTGATTTCAACGAGGGGGGTAATAATTTGGCAGGCAGTCGAAATTCGGCACAACACCGGAATACTTTAAGCCCCGAGTAGTGCATGTACGTATACTTTACTGCTCAAAAGTTTGAGGTCAGTAAGATTGTTTTTAAAGAAATTTTACTTTTATCCAGCAAGTTTCTATAGGTAGTAAAGACATGTATAATGTTACATGAGATTTATATTTCAAATAAATGCAGTTCTTTTCAACTCTCCTTTCATAAAAGATTTTGAACTATAATATTTTTTTTTCAGTATTAAGTAAAAAATATTAAATATTAACAATTGTTTTCAACATTAATTATAATAAGAAATGTTTCTTTAGCATCAATATTAGAATGATTTCTGAAGGATCATGTGACACTAAAGACTGGAGTAATGATGCTGAAAATTCAGCTTTGATCACAGGAATAAATTACATTTTAAAATATATAATATAAAGGCACATTAAATTGTAATAATATTCCACAATATTACTGTTTTCACTGTATTTTTGATCTTTGTCTTGGTAAGCATATAATTCTTTCAAAAAAATAAAAAAATATTACCGACCCCAGACTTTTGTACATGCTTTTCCAAATGTTTTGATCAGAAAGCCATATGTAAGCAAAGATTATAACCCTTGTTTTGATTGACAGGTGAGTAGGCGGTCCCTGTCAATCAGGCGGTCCCTATTAAATTCTTTGAATGTTCGCCGGTTCCCGCCTCCTTCTTCCCCGGCCTCGTCCTGCTCGCCACAGTGATTGATTTTTTATATTTCATTTATCTCTGAGTCCACACCACAACTACAACGATAACGGCACAGAGAAACAACATCGTTACGATCACTTTCAGATCTATTTTTTCCAGTTGAGGAATGAAAAAAACACTGACAGCAAATTAGAATCCAGCCTGTTTTAAAGAGCTCGAGCATTTAAAGCGACAGACGACATAACTGGAGCATGCACTTAGAATAAACAGAACGATATAGTGTGTTGGTGTGGACACTAATATAGTTATCGATATAGTTATTGTTCTTGGTGTGAGCGAGCCTTAAGGGTTATCATGGACAGTGTGTCAAATGTATGCATGTGTGTGTGTGCCACTCACCTGCCGTGTCTGGACGCTGTATACACTGTCCCCTCCTCACTGCCAACTATATAATTATTGACGTCTCCAGTGGGAAAGGCCATCCCAGTCACAGCCACTGGCTTAGACTTGTTATAAACAAGCTCCATGCTCTCCTACAATTGAGCAGACAGACTTTTATACAGGTGTGATGGATGCTGGTAGAGTGTCAGGTGTTGATCAGATGTGCCAGAACTGACCTGAGGCTGCGACAGCATATCCAGGCTCCAGGAACACATACGTCCATCTGTGGACACAGTGATCAGGTTGTTGGCGTTCTGGGTGCCGACCACATTGACGCAGTACACTGGGTGCTTTGAGAAGAAACATATACAGTATGTCACATACAAATCCGTATACAGTAGTAGTCCGCATGGGATATTTGTTGACCCTACAGGTTTGATTAAACCATCAAAATATGAGGAAAATATTTCATATATTTTTTAAAAATATTATAAATATGAGGGAAGAACAAAACACTAAACTTGGTTAAGGTGTTTATCTGACAAAATTATTTGGCAAAAAAGGCAAACTACAGCTACAGGTTTTATTTTACTGTGCAAAAAAGCATACATTGACTACAACATAACAGGTATTTATATTTTGTTGGTTCTCTTGTTTTTGCATGTGTTCATAACTTCTTTGTATGACAGCCTGGCCAAGAATTATGTCGCACAATTTGGCACGTTTCCTTGCATTCTCACAAAAAAAGCTATTGACTCCAAGTACAACTATGCAACATGCTTACAAAATCTTTAACAATTTAAAAATGTATATTTGAATAAAGGGTGAGGAATACTACTGTATGGCCAGCAAACATGTTGCAAAATTAAAGCTATGAACTGAATGTGTACACAGACACAATACCTAGCCTGTGAACTAACATGGCTCGGGCATCTGCCCGTCTGCAAATACAGTTGATTGTGTGAATCCATTATGTCGTTATTGCCGTCAATTTGATTTTGTTTTTTGACCAACAATGGGCTCTTTCAGATGAGCCGGTGGAGTGGTGAGACGGCGGTCGGGACATAGGCTTTCATTATTGAGGGCACGGGAGTTTAAACCCTCAGCATGTATGGCATTCAGGGGCCGTGTGTGTGGCAGCTGAGCACAATAAGGGTCTATGGACGTCCCTTTTCTCTGCTACTAGGCTGTACTGTCTTTATTGCATGACAAGGAGTTAGATGGGGCTCATTGAGCCTGACTGTGCTGACAGACGGAGTCTAGCCCTGGGTAGACTTTTGCACAGAGAGAAGACGAGGTCAGGAAAACGTTGAGGGGTGATTGCTCCCAGTCCCAGCATTATGTCTGATTAAAGGGATAGTCCACCCAAAATGAAAATTCTGTCAGCATTTACTGACCCTCGTGCTGTTCCAAACCAGTAAGATTTTCCTTCTCCAGAGGAACTCAAAAGGAGATGTTTTTTAAGAATATTCATGCCATACAGGCTAAGTCGTTACTTAATGAAAATCGTGCTTGACAGTCGTGTTCACCATTTACATTCAGTGTATAGAATAGAGAGGCTTGGGCATTCTGATATAATATCTCATTTTGTGTTCCACAGAATATGACTCTTTCACAACACTTTGGTCTTAACTTTAAATTGCCCCTATTATGAGCTCATTAAAAAGTATTAGTAAACAATATTATATTTAGAGGTCTCCTACAATAGGTTAATAAGCATCCAAGATCAAAAAACACTTTAATTTTCTCACAATATACATTGCACATCACCTCATTTCTCAAAGAGCCTGAAAACGGTTTGTTTGAAGATTCAGGCTGTGTCCGAAATCTCCACTCAAACCACTACTCCCTAACCCCTATGTAGGGGGTAGGGTGTAGAGCACTATATAGTGAGCTCACCAGCATAATAGAAACACCACTTTCGGACACTACTCGATCGTCTCTCGGCGCCGTTGATTACGTCATTACTGTCGCACTATTTAAACGCGCCATCATCTGTCAGCTGGTGGCGAGCCAGCTCTGGGCTAAATAGATTTTTTTTAAATAAATACATTACATTATATTGAGCTTATTTCTCCAAAATTGTAAAATTAAAAGTCATTTCTGGCCGTTTCTGTTATAATGCGTTACTCCACACATGATTATAACTTATAAACATAAATAAAATGAATACACATATTTCATATATTTTCATTTTCGCGCCACACCGTTTTCTCTTGCCTGTCGACATTAGGAAAAAAACAACAACAGATCTACGTTATCAAATATCTTGCTCATAATACTCTTAATAAAACAGCTTTTAGACTCTGTGGAGATGCCACTCAATATTTATCTTTTTTGTTTGTTCTCGTGATTCAGAAGATTTTGCGGATTAGCGAAAGAAACAGGATTTCTAGACAGAAAACGACGTGCTGTTCTTGCTACGCTAGCAAGACGTCGTCAAATTGTAAGTTAAAGATGAAGATGATGCTGATGGGTCTTTTACGATCAGCGCAATGCATGATGGTATGTAGGGCTTGGGTTAGTGACCATCGGTTGTACACTACTTTTCAAAATGCATTCTGGGATACATCAAGTGGACTATAGGGTATAATAATCATTACTATACATTCGGACAGCACTACAAAATGGCGAGCTCACTATATAGTCCACTATATAGTGAGTAGTGGGAGATTTCGGACACAGCGTCAGTCTTCTCTAAACCTGTCCTTTCCGAGAGCCTGCTCTGCTCTGATTGGTCAGACGGTCCAGTCTGTTGTTATTGGTCGACCGCTTTCAGCGTGTATTGTAAACAAAATGCCTGTTACCATATCTGAATTCCAGCTCCGGAGGCTTCCTCAGTGCTTGATACTCAGTGATACGAACTAATAATGGCGTCAGTTTTACCATATCAAATAGTCTACGTTCACAATGCAATTTTTTTTTGCATAGGTGTTAACATTGTTGTTTGAAATGTGGCCAATCAGCCCGCTCTCATCCCAAGGCGTCCTATACTGACGCTTTTGCCAAAGCGTCTATATCCAACGCACATGGCACCCTTTAGCGTCAATATGAGACGCAGATATATGGCGCCTCCTAGTGGTCTAACCCTAACACTACCCCAGACCTAAACCTACCCATAACCGAAGCGTGTTATATTGACGCTAAAGGGTGCCATGTGCGTCGGATGTAGACGCTTTGGCAAAAGCGTCAGTATTTGACGCCTTGGGATGAGAACGCGTTGGGGCAATATCAGATTCCAGTGTGAACAGATCATGGTCCTGGACTGACCCGCATGCATAAAAGAACGATAAAAAGATGTCCCGCAGCACGCTGTCATACGGAAGTAAACGTGGAGAATATTAAAGTGATTATGTGTAGATTTTAAGTGTGATCTGCCGAGAAGAGAAGAGTTTTTAAACATGTATGATACGAGCCCTCATGTTTCGCTTGTATATAGAGCTGTCACCGTAATACTTATGAGCTCTGACACACCACTGTCATTCACTCACTACCTTTCGCAACTGTCTTGATAACTACCGGTATGTAAAATCTTTGAAGTGACTCCCATGAGCGCAGATTTGTGCCGAATGTTGCTCTAGAGTGACGTAGAAGTCTCATGAATTCCGATATGACCGTTCAGACTGCGTCGCATTGTAAAACATCTGACCTGTATCGGATTTAGCAATCTGATTTGGGCCACATTTGCCTGCAGTCGTAACCAAGCCTTAGAGCCAGAGTCCTCATGCTTTTGAAGTGCATGTAAAGTGCATTTGCTTTTGCAGCGCTGAAAACAATCTCTTCTTGAGATGTCGACAACACGAACCACTCTCTTCCAGGCCTCAGCGTTTGAGGGTCAAAGTAGACGTTGTTCACAGGCAGCCAATGAAGACCCTAGGCTGGCATTATGCAAATTTGTTACATAGGTATGTAACTGGAATTGAGACTGGAATCGCTGACGACTTGTTTCGGCAGTTCAGAATCAATTTCTAGACAATAACTCCATTTATTGTGCAGTTTGATCTTTCAAACTTTGCAGACCTTTTACATTCACAAAAAGCTATATTGCATGCTGCATGAAAGGAAATATTCGAAAAAGCATGATTGGGCACTTTAAGATTAAGAAGGATGATTGTGTCTGTAGTGTTCTTACTGTATGCGCTGCGGCGGACAGGGGAGTCCTCTGAACCGGTGTTCTTCTGTGACTTCTGTTGTCCCAGAGAACAATCTGCCCCGAATATGTGCCGCCCACCAACAGGTTAGGATGAAACCGGGCAAAACCCACCGACACCACTGGAGACTGGAAAAGACAAGACAAGACAAAATCTTTAGGACAAAAAGACGAAGAAAAGAGAGAATGATGAAGGTGATGATGAAGGCAAAGGAGGAAGGGTGGGCAGAGTACCAAACTATGCTAAGGATTGTGGGAACAGCAGTTTTATATTACAGCATCATAAACAGAGTGCACTAGAGCGAAAAGCGCTGGCTTTTGTTGTGACAGCCTTTCCCTCCATCTTCACTTTTATTGAGTTTTTGGTTCCTCTTCAGTGCCTGTCACATGAAACGTGCCCTAATGCTTACATATTTTCACACACAATTCTCTGCAGCGGCCTTACTAAGCGCTTTCGCGATTATCTCAGGAGACCAATTACTGACAGCAAGGAGACAACGATATTTTGTTTTACTTGCAAAACTGCCCTTTTCGTGGTGATGTGACAGCAGCGGGACAGAAGTGTAAAAAGCGTGTTTTCATTGCGCTCTCCAGTCGTCAGTAAAGCAAAGACTAGGACTGTCTCCCTTCATGCACCGCACCATCTGCGGCCTCGCCGTCATGCACACAGGGTTCATTTTAAAGTGACTGGAAAACAAACCAGAGAAAAAGAAAACATGCTTCTCTTTTCTTTCATTCGTTCCCCCCTCTAAAAAAAATACAGCTTCTAAGAGGCTTCGGGAGCAGCTTCGCATGTGAGGTGGTTTTTTAAAAGGACTCAAAATAAACCAAGTTGGAGGGGTAAAAATAAAGGCGAGTTGAGTTTATTTACACTCAGGACACGCAGGCAAATCTGGTTTAAAGTTGAAACGCATTAAGACAAAAGCGTTTGATGGTTGGACTGGAGATTATTTGACTGATTGTGTGATTGACTGCGGCCTGATGGAGAAATTCTACACGAATACAGAGAACCGGTTCTTTACAGAAACTATTCCCTTCATTTACATACCAGAAATGAATGACGTTATGTTTCGTTAAAGTCACCATGAAGTCAAAATTCGTATTTCTACCAGAAAGACTCTTCCTGGCAGAACTTACGCTAAAGCTTCCATTTCTTTTGTGGAATATCGCATATTTATTATATTATAGATCATTTATGCATGCACGTCATTATTTTTTTTAACAATCACATGCCATTGTAATCTTTAATCAAAATAACGTCCCGTCCCTCTTGCAGCGACACCTCATCTCTACTCTGATGATGTGTTTACCGACACGAGGGCGGGGCAACCTGTCACTCACATGAGATCCACCAATAGCAAACCACAACAATCCAATCAATTCCCCATGGACAAAACCAAGTCCCGCCCTACATTTTTTCTTGTTCGAGAAGCCGTTCTACTTGGACAGATATCACAATAAGGAAAAAACCGCAACTTCTGTTTGATGCCGACTGGATTTCACACGCGAGTTCTTTAAAACAAATACTCCTGGACTATTTTTCAGCGGTGTTGCAACACTGCAACTTAATCTACAACGCAAAACATACAGAGTGCAATCAGTTACTAATGTAGCCCGATTCCCGAATGACTCCTGAGCTTTTTCTATACACAGAATACAGGAACTTTAAATACAGGAGCAACCAGGGTATTCCAAATCCAAACGGTTCTCAAACAATTGACTCTTTTGAGACAGTTCTTAAAAGTGAATCAAAACCATACAGCGCACTGTATGGTTCCAAATCCAAACGATTCATGAACGAATGACTCTTTTGAGCGAGTTCTTTTTGGTGAATCAAAAATATAGAGTGACCAATGTAGTCGAGTCGATTCTTTTTAGTGAATCAAAACCATACAGCACATGTGTATTCCAAATGATTCACAAACAAATGACTGTGAATGATTTGGTTCTTCATAGTGAATCAAACAGCTTACAACTAATTAATGAGACTGGAATCAGTATAGCACTGACTGGTTGTTCATACTATAACATATGTAGTTTAAGATACACATTACATGTCCTGTAATCAGTGGAATTGTAATGTTACCACATTTTTGTTTGTTTAGTAATATTAAATACAGTTACAGACAATATTTGGTTGCATTTATGCTGCCTCTAAAAAGACTACACTCTAAAAGATGCTGGGTTGTTTCAACCCAAATTTGGGTCAAATATGGACAAACCCAAATGTTGGGTTAAAAATGTAATTAAAAAATGTACAGTTGAAAGTGAAAGTTGAAGTTGGGTTAAAATTTTAAATTACATTCTTAACCCAACATTTGGGTTTGTCCATATTTGACCCAAATTTGGGTTAAAACAACCCAGCATTGTTTAGAGTGTATGAATAGTTGCCGAACAAATGACTACAATCTAAAATGCTGGGTTATTTCAACCCAACTTTGGGTCAAATATGGACAATTAACCCAGCCGTTGGGTTAAACTTTTAAATTACATTTTTAACCCAACATTTGGGGTTGTCCATATTTGACCCAACGTTGGGTTTAAACAACCCAGCATTTTTTAGAGTGTAGTCTTTAAAGTCACCTTTTGCAAGAACTGATTTAAATGTATTAGCTTCTAATTTATTATGATTCCCACCCCTAACTACAGTATTATGATAGAAATAAAATAGAAAGCAGAGACTTGCATGTTACTACACCGGCTGCAATAATACAATCATTGGACATCAAAAGCCAACATTTCAGTTAATAAATTGATTAGTATCTTTTAAGGGGTTGAAAAGTTTCACTCAAGTCTTGATTAGTCTGATTGCCAGTACCGCTGGAAAGGGATCTCTGTTCGGTGATTAATGATCAGTCGGTCCTGAATACTAACACAGAGACAGGGGAACATTGCTGCTTAAATACACGGCTATTTCAATCAGAGCCACAAGCCGACCTCTGAACCAAGTCTCTTTCTCTCTCTCTCCTATAGTCATGTGTCAGGGACACGCTCCCCAGACCAGCGCTTCATTACTGGGCTAATGAACATGAGCTGGGGTCACCACAACAAGAGGGTAATAACTCCACTATGAAGCCATTAATCAGAGACTTAATGAAGTATCGTAACCTGAAACTTCAGCTCAGGAGAGCAGTCCAGCCAACAGCCAATCACAGGCTTCTCTGGCCTCTCCACACACCACTGTTTTTATCAGACTCGTCTGCTGTGGTATCATCACTGTCCTGCAGAAACCTCTGAAGACAGTCTCCATCCCTCCGTTTTCTGTTCCTTAACATGCTAATTCTATAGCGTAACAGATTCATTTTTGATTGGATAAGCTGAGTTGTGTAAATGTATCTGTTCAATCGTTTACAAAACTTTACTGTCTCTGGACAACAACCAGTCTGCCCTACTCCTGGCAGGGTTATTATTTTTAACTAAAACTATAAAAAACATGGTAACACTTTAGTTTAGGGTCCAATTCTCACTATTTACTACACTCTAAAAAATGCTGGGTTGTTTCAACCCATGGTTGGGTCAAATATGGACAAACCCAATCGCTGGGTTTAAAAATGCAATAAAAAAATTTAAACCAACGCTTAGATTTGTCCATATTTGACCCAACCATGGGTTGAAACAACCCAGCATTTTTTAGAGTGTATAGTTGCTTATTAGCATGCATATTACTTGGCTGTTTATTATAAAGCATGTATAAATGCCTTATTCTGCATGACCATATTCTACATCCCTTAATCCTACCCAATACCTAAACTTAACAATCTTACTAACTATTAATAAGCAGTAATTTGGAGTTTATTGAGGCAAAAGTCGTAGTTAGTTGATACTGAGAATTGGACCCAATCTAAAGTGTTTGAAATAAAGCTGAAATTAAATAAAATATAAATATTAGTTGAAATTTTTTTGAAAAGTTGCATTGGCAATAAACTGAAGGTGAAGCACTAAAATGATTAACTGTAAATAAACTAAAACAGAAATAAAAATAAAAATAAATATTTTAAATAAACCTAATTAAATGATAAAAGCAAATAACAAAATGACTAAAAACGAATCTTAAATATTAATAAAACTATACTAAAAATTAAATAAAAACTAAAAATACACATGACTCCTTGGCAATACTGGATCTTTTTTTAATCCCAAAATAATTTAATATAAAAAGATTTCAAATAAATTAATGTTTCATTGGAATTCCTACAAAACAAACAGTGAAATGTTTATTAAACATGAGAAAATATTTAAAAAATATATCAAACAGTAAGGTAAATATAAATTATATATAAAAGAGATTAAGGCAAAAAATGGAGGCACATGGTGACAAAATCATGTGTGAAAATCACAAACTTTCAAACTTACATTCTGTAGGTCCAAAGTGTATCTTTTTTGAAAGGGTCAAAGAGGTCAAAACCCCAAAGAGTTTGGAATTTGAGCACTGGATGACAATGCCTTGCTATGGGGTAACACTGTAGTCGTCGCTTCACTCCATACAGTTCAACGCACTGGACAATGCTGACATGATGTGAACGGGCCTTTAATGATGAATAACATGTCATAGGGCAATCTCAGTTTATAAAACATCAGATGTATTCTTCCCTCATTACTGAAACCACATAAATCCACAGAGACCTTTTGCTCCATAACGAAGCGCAGAGAAATATGACAAGTATTTGAACTCTCTTTAAAGTCATAATCTAAACATGGCAGAGGCGCAAGACACTGAGAGGAAACTGGATGAAAAGGCTGTATATTCACACCATATGGAGAGCGCAAGTTAAGATCTGTCTATCTTCAACGCATGGATTCTGAAACCACCACCTCAGTTTTACTGAAAGCCCACAAACACTATTCGAGCACTGTGCTCCACATGTAAGCTTTTGCTACTGGAATAGCTCACTTTGTCCTATACAACTGTTGGCTGTGATCTTTTCCGTAGAAGAATTACAATGCGATAAATCCATTTCAGGTTTTAGTTTGTTCAAGGGAAGCTGGGATACATCTTTGTCTACATTACACTGAATAAAAAAAAATATTGTGGCAGAATTATTGGGTCTCATTCATGAAACACGAGCAGAACGAATTTGTGTGTAAATCGTGTGTAAAGTGGTTCTGGCGGAATCATTCAAATGTTCGTA